ATGGATTTCAATATTTTTTCGGTGCCAAAATTTAACATGTAATTATCATGAATTTGAACGACACCGAGATATGCAAAAAACCGAGGAGGGGGAGACTGGCTGCAGTGTAAATTTTCGCGCCCGAAAAATTTTAATCCGTTAAGGTGGGAGTAACGTACGTACGTAAAAATCTTCTTGTCGTATAGTGCAGATAAACGATTATTATTAATACGAACGGTGTTTATTATAGCAGTTTAACAACAATAAAATTGCATTAAGTTTACATTAGGTATACATTAACACCCGCGAGAATATTACTACGACTGCCAAACTACCAATTACGTAATTTTCTATTGCGGTTAGACAACAATAATAATAATATTATACAATAGTTATTAGAATTTGCAGGCATTCGCCGTGAACTTGATCGGTCGTTAATAGGCTATAATAATACAAACCAAGCGCAATTTAAATAAAAAATTATTCTACAATGTCGACAGAATATATTTTCATTGCCGACGAATAGTGGATCGCGAAAACATGTTTATTATAATATTTTAATCGCGAGGTACTATAATATGTACAACTGACGGAAGTAATAGGCTATTTGTTTGGCATCAATAAAACTTCCGGTAAAAACTTTTGAATCATGTTTTTATGATAACTATAAACCGGCTTTCGAAAGAATACTACATACTAAATTCGATTTCGTGAAAAGGGACGGAGATAATTTAGACCATTAGTGATTGTAGGTAGAAAATTAGGAAGGTATAAGGCAATTAATTTAGTTCGTAATAATATGTACTACAGCGATACGTAAACTGTACAATATAAAAATGTACGTTTAAAAACCCGGCTTCGAGATGTTGTTGTGGACCCTAATCTGTCCGCCTACATGTTAAACAATTTCAGATCTCTGCGTGTTTTATGTTTAGTCCAAAACTTTTCAAAAATCTAACAAAATATGTTTGATAAAGCATCACCGGGCGTAAAATCAGTATCTTTTAGGGTATGGTGTGAAAGTTTTGGAGCATTTTTACTGCTTGTTTTTCGAGAGTAAAAAAACATCCTAAGCAGTTCTGATAGCTACCTCATTTTACTCAAAATCTAAAATATAATGATCTGAAATTGATCAACAGATTAGGATATTGTTAAAATGAACTAAATACATAGAAATAACTCTCTCTAATTGTGTATACTTATAAGCCACCTAGATATAATAATATAATCATGTTTAAATTCGTACATAAAGGCTGAAATTAAAAAATAACTTTTTTTGCACCACACACAAATAAAAATGAAAACAGAACAACGTTAGTGGTCCTAAACTGAACTATGCAATATTGCAATTGAATGTGTAAATAAAACAAAGTACACGGTCTTATTTGATGTAACATAATAATTAAAATTTATTGGGTTTAATTCCAATTGCTATACTTTAACAACTAGGTATACTCGTATACTTACTAAATTAAATGATTATGTGTACACTCGACTGAAAGATTTTTTTTTTTTTAAAGTAGGTACTAAACATAATTATAATGGTTTCGCGTTTAATTAATGATTTAAAGTGGAAGATGTTCGACCCATGTGTGGATGCTAATACTGTAGATATTGGAAAATTGGAAACCAGAAATCGTAAACGAAATAAAAAAAAGAAATGATTTCTATGAACTAGACACTCGTGAAGGCGGGAAAAAGGTTCATTTACACGCACTTAGTATACAGTGACACAACGCGTTACTGACGGGAGTGGATCCGACAGATTGGCAAGACGTCTTGGCAATACTAAGGGAAGTGGTTCGGTGTGTTCGCTCGAGTATATGGTCTTGAAGGCCGTTTACTTTATACTGAGAAAATGATATTTTTAAAACATATTCTGATTTATTCGAAAGATAATCCTAAAAGCAACTTTGATTAAAAAACGTAGGTATATAACTATTTAGTTGACTTGTTTAATTCGTTGTACAATAATAACTAATGTAATTTTTAAATAAAATAAAACGAACTTTGCAATTTTTGGGACAGTAAAATTATTAGACTGGACACTATGACAGTTTGGTCCAGTTTGACAGTCTCACATAGACGCATATTATAAATCGGTATTTATATTTTTTGAACATTCACATATTTTTAGTTACGTATTATTGTGTGTATTATTATAAGACCGTACAAATAAAAATATAAAATGCAATGTGTTTCTGTGTACATAATAATAATACGCGTTCGTGTGAAACGGCTAGGCTCGACGAGTGATGTCTATTTTGACTGGTACATAATATTATATCATATTAGAAACGTTGTCATACAAATGTCGTACGCTCAAAAAATACGAACAGTGACGTTAAAATGTCATTCACCTCAAAAGGTTGTTAAATCATATTATTAGATAACAGTTCTTTTGTATATCAAATATAAGAAAAAGTCTGAAAATGTGTACGCCAGTATATGATAAACGGTAAAAATATCCGGATCCAACGGAGGAAAAAATAATCAATATTAATACAAATTAATAACAAAATGGTCAGGTACAATTATTTTGGATAAAGCATCACATAACTCAACTCATCACGAGACACGAGTCACTTTTGACTCACAAATGACAACGGGGCTCCCATTTTATACTCAAGTAGTCGAACAGCGAGTTAAATCGTTTGAAATTTATAGTGATATTATAAATACTTTCTATATATAGGCACTAATAAACCTAAGTAATATAGCTGTACAGAGTTGGTTTGAATGGTGTTTCAGTAGTCAGTGTTCAAATCAATAACTTTATCGGCTATATTATATATAATACCTATAGGTATAGTAAGATAGTGCAAGAGTATGATACTATTATAATACTCGTAACTATATAATATAGTTGCGAAAATTCACCAAATCGTAATGCACCATTATATACTATTATATACTATTATAGAGTAATTGAATTTACATATGTGCACAAGGATAAATCATTGTTAACTTGAATAACTATTCTGAGCAGAGTATTATTATAGTCGTATTTTTCACCTTATTGCAAAGGTAACCTAGAAATCAAAATTATACAAAAAATGTTCAGTTTTCAACAATTACTAAGAAAAAAAAATGAAAAAATGACTTCCTCGATACACTGCAATAAGATCAAAATATTTACGAGACAATATCTATACATTTTTTGATTGGAGAAGATTTCTGAAAGAAAAGTTGTCTAAATACAAAAAAAAAAAAATATAAAAACACATCATATTAAAACCAAATACCAATACGTTTCTCGCTCACTCAGAACCAAATAATGTAACAACAATCACTACTATAAATTACTTTCTTCGAGTATTTACTATAATAAATTAATTTTATATGTTACTTAAAAAAAAATATAATTATTCAGCTTTGATATATTGATACAATGATATTATGATTGATATATGTTAGTATGTCTAACTGTTATGATACTGCAATGAGTCCGGCGTTGTTTCAATTTCATCACATGTGTTCGGACGATAACTGCCCCATTTGTATTCGATATACGCGATCCGGTCGATTCGTAGTCGCCGCTCCCCGGTTATTATACACACTGATAAACCACAGATGATTATAATAATATAAATGGTTTTCTTTTTACGTATATAATTTAATTTATATTGAAAAAAAAAATTAGGACGGCCGCAAGGAGGAACGCAAACGAACCTAACGGGCACGTATCCAAAGCGAAAGTCTGGGTGGGGTCAATAAGATAATTTTATTTTAATACACATGTATTATAATAAAGAACGAAAATACGAAGCAATAATGGGTTCATCGTTGAGGCTGATAAAAAAAAAAAAATCTAAAAAAAGTATACCCGGAGCATTTACTAACCTGCAGCCACTTGATAAATTCGAAATTCGACCCTGAACGTTGGGGGTTCATCTTACTTCGAGTGCGTTTACTTTTGACTTTTCCCATACCTAATAATTATAAAAGTATATCTATTGAATTTTCAAGTTTTCGAAATTGGTACGTGGTAAGTTTAAGAAATTGTGTTTTTAATCTGAAAAATATACCTAATATATAAAATAAAGTTGTCAGTTTAGTAGTATCTACATGTACGATTTAAATAATTTACTAATTTTTCGACACCTATTTTATACATACTAATGTGTACTCCGAGCTAGAGTTCCGAATTAACCAGTTGTTTGTCGGTTTGTCTATTCTTATTGTTACCTATATAACACGTTAATCATCATTTCAAGAGCATTGAAATGGACAAAATGTCTTCTCTATACAAATACCACAAAGCGAATAATGCTTATTTTCTACGGCTGTGCTATACAATTGATTATTCTATAAACGTGCCTACCCCTAAAACGATACGATTGTGTCAATTATAACAATATAATAACTGTACGTAGATTGATAATATTAAATAGTCCATCGTTTGACTATGGACTTGTAAACGGACGATTTTTTGATAACAGATAGGCAGTCGAGTGTGCATGCGAATGAAAATTTAGATAAAAACACATATATAAATTTAATAACACTTTATAACACAATATGTTATACAATTATCTATAGCTAAATGAAATTACATAAAATTGTTCGTGCCTACCTACGACCATTTCGGATTTCGAAATTATTACGTTAAATATCCATATAGTAATAAGCGTTTGTTCGGCTGTAGAATCTAAAATTGGTGGCGATGACATAATATCGCAATCATCATTCCGATTTTCGCAAACCTATACACCAAACCTATTACCTATACATGGTTGAAAAGTGGAAAGTGATTTCGTTAGAATTGCAATAAGGTGTTTATTACTGCAGCTATTAGCTATATATTGCCTATAATAAGTCGTTATTAATTCAGACTCCGTAATACATTACATCATTTAAAATGCAATACATATATTATGTTCAGATATAGTTGAGTCCGTAATTTCGATTTAAACGATTTTCATAAAATTAACATTATATTATATAAAATTATAATGTACACCATTCGATTTTAGCCGTATATAAAATTAGAATATAAAGTGAATATTATTTAGATAGTCCTTGCGAAAATTGAAAACCGAAAAACACAATAAATTAAAAATGAATACTTACCTAGTAAATAATAAGGGTTATTACTTATTAAAAATTGATATAAGGTATAATTATATAATAACATATACCGCCGGGTAAACTACCCCAATATTAGTATTTTCAATTACAAATAACCTCATGTTTCTGACGTCACGTTAACATTATGTATTCTATGTGTATAACTTACTTATTGAAACCGATTTAGGTAAATAATGTTTCTGTAAATATAGGACAAACATACAGTAGGTACCGTATCTGGGTGCAGTGATAATTTCTATTATTAGGTACTTACTATTTTTTAGAATGATAAAATACACCTAAACCGTATAATTACCAATAAAACGAATGATTTCGGAAGTTGGAGGGGCACGTGCCCCAGTGTCTCCTGGCTACGGCAGTCCAAACAAATAATTTATACAACTGTTATCGATATGGCATTGTAAGATTTTCTCGGTTGGAAATTCAAATGTTTACAACTATTAATTTTAATAAAAAAGAGATATAATACTAAGTCACTTAGTATTGTATCTCAACTTAGTCTAAGTGTGTAACCGTTTTCATTTTTATTCGATTATAATGATTAGAATTTGATTAGAATTTCTAATCTATGTCTAATAAATAACTGTACATTATTCGTATACATTTGACTGTAAACTGTAATCTATAACTGATAACACACAAATTAAAACAATACCTCATTGAAATATTAAATGTACCTAATTATTATTATCACACAATTGTATAATATAGGTATACGCATATAAGTATTTTAAAAAATTGCACAACTTTGAAGTTTAATAATAAATCAATAGGTTATTACTTATTACATTGATTTATAATTATTAAACAATATTATAAGCACATATTATACTTCTAAAAAAAGGTTTATTCAATAATTCTGGATTATAGACCCAAACACAAAATTATTTTTTATTCAAGATTTGGCGCGTCAATTATTGAACAGAGAAAAAATCGACTATTATTTCGCATAGGTATGTTTAATAATATACACATATTTTTTTTTTTTTTTGTTAGAGTCTCTATTATTATTTATATAACCTTTGCAATATTGATTTAACAATAACAATTCTAAAGGGCAAACTGTCATCGTACAAGTATTTCAAAAAAAATGTATATACTCTTATAGGGGCATTTCTTTAGGAAAACCTATTTGACACATTGTTTATTGAATAGAATAAATATTATAAGAATGCAAATAAAATAACCTAAACGTACACCATTTTTGTAGCGCGTTCTTTACTTTATTGTTCTTAATCTTAACATTCTAAATATTATAAACCGTGTTATAAAGATATGTATAAAATCAATTATTATAGCATATTGTCATTCGATAAGTATGAGCATTTCTGAACTTGACTTTTATGAAAACTACTAGGTATATTTTATTTTTTATTTTTTGAGGTTTATTAAATATTTAATTAATTAAAATAATAAATACATTTTAATTGAATTTTTCGAAAATTGTTAATTGTTCAAAATTATATTATTACCAAACACTTAATCGTTATTTAAAAATATTCGATAGAACTGAAATAAACTCGAACTATATAATAAATAGCAATAATAAAAAGAAATTAAAAAAAAAAAATGTAAATTATAATAATATATTTGTTATTTATGCATTAAAACGTGTCATTACCAACAAAATAAAAAATTAGTATTTTTAATGAAACCAGATTTTTTTTGATTTTGTTCGTATGCCATTATAAATTCAACTGTAAGTACATAAAAATTAAAATAAACATGTAAAATAAAAAAACATTTTTTTTTTTTTTTTAATCCACTATAATGAAAACAGATAATATTTAACTAAAATGACAAAACTTATGTGCATTTTGTATGATTTTAGATTAAATAGGTACGTAAATAAAAAATAAATATAATTTACCCATCCACTACTCCGGTCGTCTAAACTTGCAAAACTTGCTAACAAAGAAGATTTATTAAACTGTTTGATATTCGCGCTTTGTGCGTCGATATTTTCACAAAATTATTTTTGCATCGGAAAATAAAGTAAAACCAAGAAAGACGTAACAAGTTTCTATAAATCATAAAAAATACAAATACATATGAAATTATTGTCAAAATAAAAAGACGTACCAAGCAAACAATTACATTTCTATAAACCCAACTCAACCTAATATATATTTATTTATGTATAATGTATAAATATATCAATATATTGCTCCCAAATATCAAATTTATTCGATGAACGAAAAACTCGATTGGATAATATTGCGTTGCATAATATTAAATCGGCTCATAACCGAACGGCGAACATTTAAAAATAAATTTACATTTAACGTTTTCGTATGGTTTAATGTCATATTACAGAAAAAAAAAAAAAAGCGAACGCGTTATTGCGGTATCCGAGAATTTTGCCAGAACTTGTTGGGTTAGCAATTTAGATTCTGCTTGAAACGACCGTTAATACGCAAAATTTTAATTTATGTCGATGTTTGGTCAGTACGAGTTGACCACAACGCATTCTGCAGGATGCCGAAACGTTAAGAATAAAAGACGCTCGGCCCGAGTAACTCGGGTTAAATCAAATTTTGGAAAACATAATATAACATATTATATAACAATATTTTCAGTATTGTCTTGTACCTCCGTACGTTATCGAGAGATAAAATTTATCATAATAAATAACGAACAATAGTTATTCGGTTTTATAATTTTTAATGACAGTTTTCAAAACATTAAACAAAAACCATGGGAATGAGATATCGAAAACAGAAACACAGATAAACCTATAATAGTAATCGTGATCAAAGTCGTATTCCCGCGAAATCATACCTAAACAAAATGTGTAGGAAAAAAAAAATCGATTTGTTTTTAATGTACCCATATGGCCATATTACGTATATCATATATCATGATATTATCCAGTTATATATAATGCAATCGGATCAATAGATAATAATTAATATAGGTGATGGCCGGGGAATATAATAATGATAATATTGTTATTATGTTTATCGTGCGCATACATTGCAGCACGTTTTATGTAACGAAACGAATTCGTAGTGGTTTGTTTTTTTTTTTATTTATACATGTATAACTGTTTATTTTCTTTTTCGCCTGTATCTCATGCAATAATAATAAGTTTGCTATATTCTCCGATAAATCCAATATTCCAATAAATCCACATAAATAGTTTACTAAAATGCACAATACAAAATTCGTATTTTCGATAGAATTTATTCTATTGCCTATTCGAATAATATTTCAATTCTCTGTAAATGCGTAATATTCTTATCTATATGGAATTCTAGACATTTACTTAGTTTTTTGTTTTGGATTTTTATTACACAACATTTTTGATAAATCGAATGAAATCAAAGCGGTAGCGTATCTACCAATAAAAATTTGACCTACGCGTTGCGCCGATCGACAGGCACCCCGGATATTGTCTAAAATATATCAAATGATTAAAAAGCAGCTGCAGTCAACTATCAAAGGATCAATAAATTACAAAGAACCTTCGTGTGATAGATAATAAATCGACTTGATAAAACCTTTTATATAATATCAATATCACTTTTATTATATAAGTAAACGTTTAAATGTTTTAGTACTTTAATTTGAACACAATTCTAATAAAATAATTTGACATTTAAAACACTATAAAATATTGAGCAATACAATTGTATATACTGTTTTATTATTGGCTGGATGAGTGAACAAAACTTCGATAGATAAATTGCATGAGTGCATAAAAAAATAAGAAAATAACCGTTTTTGCATTATAACATAAGTTATATTATTATATAAGTAATTTGATTCCTTGGAAATTCGTTCGAGAAAAAAAAAAGTAAACCGCGTATGATGGTAGGTATCCTATATTTACTGACATGGAATAATTTTTCGGGGATTATGTTGACGACAATGTAAGCAAGAGACCTCGTGTAAAAACAATAGTGCGTATATATATTATATTATACTGAAAAAAAAAAAACAAGTTTTGCATGATAATAATAATTTCCAAACAATAATACGGAAATTTTCGGAGTCAACGGCGTAAAAACCTAATATTATATTATAGAAGATGACCAATTAACATCGTCACGCATTATAACACGACATATTATACAGAGTGGTTCTTTAATCAGCGATGTCTTCAAGAATTTTGAATAAATTTGATTTGGTTTTGTTCAGACGTTATATATTATGTAAATATTATAAAATCGTATAGTAGTCGTAATGTTCCAACTATTGATTTTCAAATAGCAATCCGTATTTTTAAACTCCGATTCAAACAAGTATACTTTTCTAAAACAAATTGATACTCACAACACAGCACTAAGTATTCTTTTATAACTTGTTAGGCCTGTGAATTTGTAGCAGATGCACATTTTTTTTAGTACGAAGTTCGAATTATTATGTGACCACGAATTTGATTTTTAAACTTATAATTTGCTTTTTTTGGTAACTGGTCCTTTTTTCCCCTTATTATGTTACGTTTTCCTTATTTAAAAATTAATTAATTTCATGATAAAGAAACTGAACATACTATAACAATTTCTATATTATTTTTATTTTATTAACGTTTAAAAACTACATAAAATATAAAAATGTATGTCAATGGATATCTGCAAATTAAAGAAAGTATAACGCCATTTTTTTTTCTCTTAGATTTCAAGTGATTATATTATGCACATTGAAAACATAATATTATTAATCTAATTTTAAGATTACTTATTAATTATAGCCGTGTTATTTTATTCGGGCATATTTAATTGTATTATATTTCTAAAATATTTTAATATATTCTTACTGCGTTTCCAGATAAGTTGACATTTTGATTCGGTGAAAGAATAAGTCCATATAATAGGATCAAATTGGGAATTTGGATGTATCCGAATTGGCTCCCATTTAGCCGAATTGATTCCCGTTTGAAAAAAGGTATTTTATGAAGGTGAGCCCATTTAAATTTGTGATGTATCCACTACCAGTCGAATTGATTCACATTGTTCGCAGTAAGTTAGTCAAATACGCACATTTTCCTTCCCATTCTTACAAACTTAGGACTTTCAACTTAGAATTACTTAGCTTTTATAGTAGAAACATTTCTGTATTTTATATTCGGTATACATAGCCATATAGATACGTATACTCAGATGGATTGACAGATGGAGTTATCTTAATCGATTGCGGTATTCTGGCAATACGCCAATTTAACATTATTTTATTATCTTCATAACTGTAAAATACCCGCCGTAGTATGATGCAAGTTAAATAAAAGTTTAAAAATATACTGCATTATACCTAAATTTATTGTATTTGTTGTACACATGTTGATGTTAAACGGAAGCCAATTAGGTTCACCTTCATAAAGTACCTTTTTCAAACGGGAACCAATTCGGCATGTGGGGGATGAGTTCGGGAACTAATTCGGATACATTCTCGAATTATCCCTATCGGATTAAAATGTCCCGTTACCCATTTCAGTGTTTTTTTTTTTTTAAAATATCAAGTAAACTTTTACCTATTTTTTTTTTTTTTTTTGTGGGGGGAAGGGATATTAAGTATTTTGTGAGATTTTTTTAAAAAATACTCTTAAATTTTTTTGTGAACAAAATGTACAGCTCTATTATGAATAAGTATTTTCGTCTATTGAACTGTAAGATGTATAATACTGTAGACTATAGTTAATTACTGCGGCCCGTGATAAAAGAATCGCTCCACATAAATTATTATATTATATGGACACATGAATTCATGTTGCTCAACAGTATTATAATAATTATAATAATAATAATAATAACAATAATGATTTAGACGGCCGAAGAGACTTGAGCGATCGGCGCGTCGGAGCGTCGACGGCGGCAATAACGGCGGAGGTGTCCGGTACGTGGCAGCACTGTGCTAATTATTGTACACACATATTATAAACGTAGTAGTCCCTCGCTCTCGCGGGCAACGGTATACGAAAATCCACTGGCGCAGTCGGTATTCGTCGTCCGGTGTGTAATACTTTCTCGTCGTATACGCCGTCGTCGTCGTCGCTACGTCCTAAAATCGAGAGAAAAAAAAAAAAAAAACGGTATACCAGATATTCTCTGAATATTATTATTTTATTAGTGGGTACCACCGCGGAGCCGCCGGCCCGAACTGGTCCGAAAATTCTGTACCTACTCGATACGCAACAATATACTACCTACACCTACGGTTTTTTTTTTTTTTTATTTATTTATTTCACTAATAGCGAGTGAGACGAGTAGCGCAGAGTGTGCGACCGCGTTTTTTTTTTGTTTTGTACTACTGTTAATATTGGAATTTGTTTTTTTTTTTTTATTTTCGTTTCGAAATAATATTGTCATCGTGTCCAGTAACAACCCGCTACAACACCTTGTTATTGAAATTATGTCGCCGTTTTAGAAGACCGTATCATTTTTTTTTTTTTATTATTTCCTCCCCGTCGGAGAATAAAATCACAACAAAATCGGAAGGAAGAAAAACCGACGTGCCCGATCGCCGATTCATGCGCGGCGATAATTTTGGACGCGAAATAAGTGGCTCGCACGTGAGTATAAATCAGAAAAAAAATTAGAAATTAATAAATCATATTTTATACAATTTACTATTATATATTGACACACGCGCACAAACACGCGAATATCGCTTTCACTCAAACGTACGTACTTCTGTATCCTTAGTCATATATACCCTAGTGCGAGTACACGAGAGACCGTTGCATAGTAAATACAATTTTTTTTTTTTTTATTTGCAAAGTTCCGGGAACGGAGGTGAAATCTTTTTGGATCCGGAAACGTTTAGGTTCTCTGTACGGTAATATTATCAATGTAGGTATATACCAATGCTCATACTTGGTCTTTGCGGTCTCGCAGGACGATATATAGCGAACTGCAGACGTATAAATTTAGACAATCGAAATTCTTACAAAAGCGCGTTCGCTATTAATAATGCGTTTTTATAATATATTCAGATCACACTACCTATACCGATTACCACGTATGTGGTGTCCCATTTATTTTTACCGCGAGTTCAATCCGCGCTTCCCCGCGCAGTGTGTTATTTTTTAAGGCCGAATTTTTTTTTTCTACGTTATATACCCACTCCGATCCGATCGCGGAAGCGCATTAACGGATCGCCTATAATTCATTGTTGTACTTTCTACTATCCGATTTGGGGACCATAGTTTTATAGAAAAAAAAAAAAATATATATATATATATATATAATATAATATAGTGCGACCGCATAAGATTTCCGAGGAGAGACATTGAATCGACACTATGATTGGTACACCCTCAAAATATCCCGCGGTTCTGTATGGAATATTCCGCATGCGAAACGTCCCGGAGTTCAAAACTTCCGGGCGTCTCATAAAATAAACCGTTACAAATTAAATCGATCGTTCAAATATATTATATAATAATAAAAACTTCAATACATTTTACATTAATCGGTTTTAATCGTAACGATTTATTTCATAACATAAACTGCGACAATCATATTATTTTATTGGCATTTTTTTCAATATTTATGGGAATAAAACGCAGACACATGTGTGTACTCTATTATTTTAATTACGTATTAATATTTTTTAATTTCATAGTTTATAAAGTGTTTTTTTTTTAATGTTTTACTGATGTCCGTTTCTTTTTTCTGAGAACCCGGGATGCCAACGTAATCGGGATCAAAATTATATAATATACACAAAAGTCCAATCGAACCGACAACCACGAGTAGAAGGATTTTTTTTTAATAAAATAATAAAGTAAATACAACATTATTTAAATGGGTTAATACTCGTAAATAAATATATACATTTTGTACATATTTATTTAATTGATTTTTTTTTGACCAATTTTTAATTATTTCAATATCGAAACACGCCGTATAGGGTCATCGTATTTTACTTCAACGTGCAGTCGATACGCCAACACGTCGTTACCGCAGGAGTCGTCTTCGTGCGCGTCCTACACACCACAATAGAATATAATAATTAATATAAATAATATCACAGAATAGTACACTGTATGCATCACCTATCCATTGTTGTTGAAATCGATAATAATAGATTATTGTAAATTGTTACGCCGGTACGGCCAAGTTTCAATCGAAAAAATACGCGAATTAGCTGCGGGTATAACGTTCGGAGTATGATATAAATCATAGTCAAATTATCTCCGAATATAACGCGAACACCCGATATATTATACTTGGAAAAAATAACGGTTAGGTTAGGTTAAGTCAAAACAATTGAATTATCATTGTACACGCCGACGTTTCGGACAATAAAATTACGAGTAAGTGTAGGGGTACTTACGTATTATATTCTAAACTGTGAGAACTTTATCGTCGTAATGTACCGCGATTTATTACACGCATTAGTCGATGATTACTTACCGTTAAAAAATACACATTTTTCTGAATGTTCTGACCCCTATTAATTCTCTCGATTACCTACCTATAATAAATAAATTATCCGACTTAATAATACAACAATGTAATAATTATGTAATTGTCAAAACTGATACAATCAATTAAAATATCATATCAGTTAAATTGTATTATTATTTGTGTAGTTCATATTATTGTAATTAATTATAAGTAATGCGCCAACGGATATATACGTTTTACCTTGAAAACGTTCAAATTTTACCTATACCCTCGATTAATTATTTATACTATACGTGGTTAGGTATACCTGCAGACTAGCTAGTTTACTTATTGCGATGTAACTAATATATCAATAATATCGGCCGGTACTCGAAACTCAAAATTATAATAAAGTATAAAATTGCTTCAAAAATTGCTGTACAAAAGCACCTATATACCTGAACATTATAAATATATAACCGTGTGAAACGGGGGCATCAATAAAATCGGACGAAAAGAGATTAATCGTATTTGGGAGGAATATTTTACGTAAAATATATGGTCCCAAGAGAAAGGAGGATGATAATAGGTATTTATGAACGAAGGAAAAATTAAAAACTGAGAGCAGTGTTTAATGAGCGAGATATAGTCGGAATAACTAATAAGCCGCGAAGCTGAGCCGGGCAAGTTTGGCGAAAAAAGTAACGTGTTTCACATTACCTCTCCCGTGTAGTGTAATGAATTACATTTTGAAAAACTCGGAGTTGATTGCAATACAAATAATATGGAGATACATAAAAAAAAAAAAAAATGCAAATAAATTAATACTAACCAATCCTAACCGGAAGTTGTTCGGGATGATTATACATTTTCGACCGATTATTCCCGTTTCGGTCACATAATACAGTGGTCCACTTCGGATATTTCACGTTTCGTTTAGTTCACAAAAATAATTTTACAATTTTATTTATACATACATGTACATATATTTCTGCATCAAGATCTCTGCACGCTGCTATAACTTTTCGTCTCTCACGTTTCTGACCGCACACCTATCGTGCGAGTGTAGGTATATGCTATACAGGATACACCTATTAAATAGGTACCATACAATAAATTATTATTATAGTGATCGGATGTGTGCAGCGAAAGTTGTTTTTTTTTTTCTATCCCTCATTCATTGCAGCAAAGCTGGCGATGCGGTTAACTACGATTTCCACCCAGTGTACTATAGGTACATATTGGTATCGTATTATTATAGTCACTGCGATATAATAACATTATATAGTGAGAGTGACCCGTCAAAATATAGTTTCATGTCTATCCGCCGATTGGTGTTGAATGTCGTTTCCAAGTAGGTTAATCCCGGCATTACTAGTCACGTATAATAATGTGTATTGTCGACAAGACATAAGTATATCTGAGTATATCCGAAGACAATTAATAATATTATATACAGGTAGACAGAAGGGTACAGCGGAAAATCATACGTTTTCGACTGATTATCAATAAATAACAAATATAGGTTCATAGGTAATATTTAACATATAACGACTGCATTGCAATTCCGATGGTTTTCTCAAAACCGGTGGCGTGTTTAGAATTTTGTCAAGGAAAGAGATATCAAACTTAAAAATTGCATCATATTTTGTAACGTGTGAAGACCAAAAAAACAGATTAATTTTTAATTTATATATATATGTATTTTTATCTATATAAATACTATGTAGTCAAATCTGACCTAAAATGAAAACTAAAATCAAATAACTATATTAGGTAGTAATTATTATTAGCTAATTTAGGTACCAATATCAAATATCCTTCATACCTATAAAGGTTCAGACATGTATGTGTATGTAACAACTTGTCTACCAGAAATCTAAAAACTAACAAAATCAAAAAAAGACAACAGAGCTTTTTTATAGCGAAAAAAAATGGTAATGAATAACAAATAAAGTATAATTCCAGATATATTTCAATAGAACATAGCTATAATATCATTGTATCAATTTACTTTTTTACTTCGGCATTTCGATATGAACAGAAAAGCTACGAAAATTTTTTTGGGCAAAATATACATTCTACAAACAGTGCCATTATTGAATTTTTAATGGTTCTATACAAAGTATAATACGTACCAACCTGTAGTCTTATAATTTAGGTATTGTAGTCTTAAATAGTTAATCTGGGTTGACAGTAATGTAAACGTAGTTTTTAACGCCTATACGAAAACACGGTATGATGGTTTTTTCCATTATAATCGTGTCGTTTTTTTATTTTTATTATTTTCACTAATGGTGTTAAACAAATAGTAATAATATAATGTGGACATGTAAGTTGTTTGTATGATTCAATATAAGACTCCCTGCGTAGAAGATCCGCAACAATTTAATAGATCTACCTACCTATTCCGGAAGAAAAAAAAAATGCCGTCAACTGGTTGATTCGGTCATGTAGCGGACCACTAAGACTGGGTCAAGGTTCCGATAGCAACAAACTGTAATATATACCATACCTAATAATCATTACATATTAAAAAAAAAAAAAAAACTGACTAATTTTTTCTTAACTTTTATCATATATAATTATTAATTACTATACCTAAAAGTTGAATAGTTGTTTGCACCTTTATTTCAACCGTAGGTAACACGTGTTGAAGTGAGATTTCTTTACTAAATAACATTATACACTCGTAGTAATTATTAGTTTTAATTCCCTTGCTTCTCCTCTGGCCGATTAATATAAAATGTTTTTTTTTTTTTTATTTTCACAATAACTTTTATATTGCCTGGGTCTATTTTTAATATTATGTGTTGTCGTTAAGTCTAAACATGTACCGATACCTACCTAACCTTCTACCTATAATAATTGACCAATTACATTAAAAACTATATTTCTTCGATTTCGTAATTCAACAAATTACGAAGGTAATTCGGTGGCAAAGGTTAGGGTGGCAACATATAATTTATTTTTATACTTACCGGCATTTTACCGTGAAAAGACGTAATATTAAAAAATATATAAAATTGGATAATAATTAAAAAGATATTTCACACAAAAATAAACCTTAATATTATAATTATTTATACTTATTTATATACAGAGAACCTAGTTCATAAAAAACTATTCAAGTAGCACATTTTATTGACTCTATAATGGTTGTTTTACATATTATTATGGTTTAATAGTTTGCCCCTCTTTAAAAACTTATTTTTTATAAGACAAATTTTGGGTCTCTATCATATTTATAATTTCGTGAATAGGTTTAAATTTATTGATGTATCTCAGAAATTTGATTAACAAGTATTTAATAACAATATTTTTTATTAAACAATATTATAAAATTAGCTCACCCAAGATCCGTTCATTAAAATAAATCATATTGTTTTAGATTCTAAGCAGGATAATGAAATGATTATTATTTTGAACAAATATATTATCTCGATAGTATGAAAGGAAAAGTAAATATAATTTATTTTTATTTTTCTGTATTTGATAAAAAATGTGGTACTTATTAGATTATTTAAACTGACCATTTTTTAACAATATTTCTTAAATTAAAATATAATTTATTATACATTAGGGTGAAATGAGGTAATTGTAAATTTAGGCAATCGTAAACAAAATTAAAATCATATAAAATAACGTTATCATTTTTTTACATTTTATCACAACCGTATGAAGGTATAAACGTATTTTGATATTATACACTAGTTTTAAACACAAAAATAGAACAATTGTAAATATGTGCATAATTCACACTTGAGACTCTTAAAATGATTATTTCATATAGCCCCAGTTACAATTACATAATATTCAATGCGTTCAATTTTGTTCATTTACAATTAATTAAAAAAATTAAAAATACATTTTCTGCAGTTTTTCATGTGAAATATTATTTTTTCAAGTACCATTATTGTAAGCACAAAAACAAAGAACAAAAATATAAAACGAATAGTATTCAATTTTCTTTATAATTTTGTATTATCTATTTACAATTTTCCACTTCATCTCATGTCCTATAATTATTAAATATTATAATATAAAGGTACGCGTGAAATAATAATATTATTTCTAACAAAATATGTTATCTCAGAAAACTAAAAAAAAAACCTAATTTATATGTTATATAATATAATAAAACTAAGCGCCCCGCAGTAACTATCCGTTTTTATCTATATAAATATTAATGAGATTTTAGGGTATAAGGGTTGTGTGCGTACCTAAATTCCTTATTATCGAATACTCATTTATAATCTAAAAACGAACAAGATAACATAACATATTGGTGTAGGAATACAGGTTGCTACTAAAGGTTATCGTTTATTATACACACGTGTATAGTATACACGTACGTCAATTCGCATAGATACCTATATTCAAAAATATATCTTATAACATTGGTAACATAAACTTTAGAAGATCAATAGTGAAATATGCAAACAGATTTTGTTAATATAGACAAGAATAATTATTACAGGATTGCACATAACTTTAAAATACAATTATGCCTAGTGCCTACACATTATCATTACATTTTTTATAGAAATACAATATTATTATTCTTAAAAATTGTACTTACTAAATACTCCTTAATAACTATTATATCATATTTTTATTTGTTTATCTAACTTCTTGATTATAATATAATGAGTATAGTATAATATAATCAAAAAGTTAGTTATGCAATCGATTTCATCTGTTTAATCTTAATTTAATTGATTATTTTGCATTCTTAAAATTTAAATAATCTGCGAATATTAAATAAATTTAAAACAGACTTATTGGTTTGACCTACCTTGTATTATGCATATCACAAAATATTTTGTTTCATATTCAAATAAAGAAAATAATTACGTAATTAATGTTCAGTTTTTCACTAAATTAATTTTATAATACATGCATGTACCTACGATTTTTTGTATTTCAAAGCACGTTTATTTATCATCACACCATCGCAAAAAGTTTTTTAAAGCATTGAAATTCAGCTCATGGTGAAATAAAGTTTGAAATATACATACGTGTTATATTTTATAATTTTGCACACGATTATTGCCCACTGCGTTATCTACCTCCGGGTAAAAATAATTGTGTGTGCCAATTTAACGAATTCGAAATGTTTAAATAATTAAAAACGTGTTTGTGTAGCCATGTAAGTGTTAATTTTTTATTTTACTTCAATTTTTAATTCAAATATAGCCTATAAAATATAACTAAATAATAATTATAAAACAAATATTTTCAACTGCAAATTGATAGGCTAACCTAATACAAAATACTTTTGAATTCAAAAAACCAGTCTATTGTTTACTTACTGCGTAGTTTAATGATACTCTACGGAATTTCAATCCAACAACCCTTATACAACAACAGCATCGAATGACGATCATTTTTTTTATCTGTTATTTTATTAGGTACCTACACATATCCCTCTCGCCAAGATCTTATCGTTTGAGTTATTGTTTTTTTTTTTTCCTATCTTGGTATTTTTTTCTCCAAATCACGTATCATTTCAAGTTATACGAACAATTAATATTTCTTTTGAGTCAGAAGAGAATAATTTTCTTATCTTTATCTTGTTATAAATCCCATCTATACAATTATTGCGTTTTAAAACGAATACGCCAGTAAAATCTATCTATACCCTTGATAAAACGAGCATTTAATTGGTTCCAAAATTGAATTTGACACGTAGTTAAATTTCTATGACTTAATAAATTTACTTTGGTCTTAAGGAGTACCAATTTAGACAGTTTTCATTATACACACGTGAAAACACTAACATTTTAATCTGGCCAAAATAAGAAGAAATTTTAGTAATGTAGGCACTACGATTCGTAAAACACATGAAACGATTACCTAGGTGTTTTCTTATATGTCTCCCCTGGAAAGATAGTAGCATATTGACAATATTTTTGAAGAACCACGACTTTATTATAATTCATATATTATGTAAAAATTAACAACATGAAAAATTATTGAATATTTTAAATATAAAAATTCAATGAAAAAGAAATTTTAATACGTCAATATACATCAGAATCATTATATTATTTCATTATTATTAACTTTTTTTAGATTCTGAGTGGATCGAGGAATGTATTGGTTTTACAATGATGTTTATTTTTTTATTTTATTTTTTTTAATGTGAACACTTTTTCTACCAGAAAACATACTCCGATTATCTAATATAGCACCTTTTCTGAAAGGAAATTTTCTATAGGTGGTACTTTAGAGAGATCATTTTTTGAAATTCTCATTAATATTCAAGATAATGAGGAAAACCTTAGTCTTTAGGTTAAAAAAGATTGAAAGATTAAAAATAAGGTTTTCATTGGCAACCGTTTTTATTTATTTCTTGTTATTATTAACAATGTTTTAATCATTACCATAATAATCATTACTGTTAACAATAATATGACATAATACCATTTATTGTATTGTTGACAAAGCAACATAATAAATTGAACTGAACTCAGCTCAGAATCGTTTTTCCGTTAGCAGTGTTTTATCGTTGCTTACAGATATACATTAAATTCCCGTTCATAGCCTACCTTCCCAACTTTCCATCTACAATGCACCCACGTGCGAAGTATGTCCGTCCTTTTTTCATTATTATTTTATACCCATCATATTATAATATAGCCAGTATAGGCCACCGCCTCTGGGGAAATGCTTTTAAGAAATAAATAAATATACGTAGGTATATGTTAAGTATACAGATATTGATAGATTTCGGTATTAGGTGTATTCAAATAAAATGATTAAGGTGAGTGGTATACAAAAATCGTTGCACCTCAAGTAACATAGTTCAACAAGCCACTGTCTCCAACGCTTACTGATGTTTAAAAAAAAACGGTTAAACATTGACATTCAACAAACCTAATTATAGTTTGGATAATCGATAATCTATATGGAAACACATGTCGCATAGTATGTGTCTATCGCCAGACGATAACTATTATAATGACATATTTAATTATGATGAATTGAATTTTAATATCATATAAAAAAAAATAAAAATGCATTCTTTGTAAATAACCCATATAATTTATCATATATTTTTTAATTAGTACATATCATAATTAATAGTAATTTATATAAATATTAGTATTATACGATTCATTATAGTATTATTAAAAGGGTGTGGTATTTTTTAGAGCGTATAAAAATAGTGTTTATCATATTCTCGTATAAGTAAAATTAACTAACCGTGTCGGCTAAAATTCCAGAGTTAACCGTGTATCAATTAAAAACAATTATAGTACGTCGTGGATATAACACAAAAAAAATAAATAAAATAAAAATGTAAAAAAATAAAAAATAATATTAATTAGGTGAACGCTATTCAGTGACTTTATTATTTTATGATTTATAAATAAATGATAATTCCTAAATTAAAATTATTATGTAGAGGTACTATGCAGTGGTGGCGCGAAAGAAGTATATTTGAATCATGTGATTCACAAAAAACAGGATGGGTGAGTCGTAGGTGCCTGGGTGTTCAGAAATATAACAACAATTATTATGTTTTTACAAAACAAGTCATTAAAAAAATTTTAGACTGCGGAAATTGGATAAATTTGTAGTAGGGTGATGGTATTTTTGAATTGGAGTGGGTAGGTGGTTGAAAAATTAAATTGGTGATTCAAAGTAAAAATACTTCGTGCCTCCATTGGTACTATATATATTTCAATGAAAAATATGTTTTATATTAACTCATTTGGCTACTGGACTGATTAATTTTTGAAGTTTTTGTCTTTTTGTATGTTTTGTATAAATCATAATAAAACCCAAAAAGGCACTTTCTTAATAATAAAATTGCATCTCCTGGTTTCATTTGGAGAATCTATATAAAACTAAAAAACATCATCCAACCGGAACAATATGGTTAAATTCATATTGAAATTCAATCAACATTGTATCACTTCAATCCGTTTATAAAACAACTCTAATTCCTTAGTTTGAGCTCATTTTGTTCAGAGGGAGCCACTAAAAGTAGTAGGAAATTATTTATATAATACACAATGTGATACATAGATTAACTATATTAAGGACGTGACTACGTGAGTCATCTGGCAATCATTATCGATTATAAGTATACTTTAGTTCTTACGCAGTCAATGTGCATACAAGTCGATAATATGCCGAATATGGATTACGTTCTCAAAATTATTTAAATTATTAACTATATGGCTTTTTTCGATTTGGTATAAAACAGTTTAGCTTCGAATGATTTATTGAATAATTTCAATTATTGGTATTTTTTTAAACTAACAGTGCAAAAATAATAATACATATTACAAAATTGTGTGATTTTCGTCAATGTTATATATAGCTGGTAGTTTTTATTTTTTGTTACTCTCATTGAAAATCTATTAGAGATATTGAATAATTACGCAATCAATAATTTACCTACCAAACAGTTTAAATTTCTACCAACCATGTGCTGTGCGGAACTTTTGTTATATTTTTATTAGTCAAGTAGCCCGAAAAAGACACTTTTCAGTAAACTTTTTGTTTCCGTGTCAATACGGTTTTCCACCGGTTATCAGTGTACCCACTAAAACAATTCATTGACAGGTGTGTATATTGTGTATTATATATTATACTCTGTTTTGGAAAGGTGCGGTTTGATAATTTGGTCAAATGTAACACGTCATATTATTACTATTACACGTTAACCGTTATAAATATTATGATGACGTACCCGTGTAAAGGAGAATAACTTGTAATTGATTGGATCCAGACGATTGTAAAGCACGAGATCAAAAATATACGGATGGTCCAAGGACAATTTTTCTATAATATACATGAAAAAATTAATTATATTAAAATATATGAAAATTCGAATGTTTGTATACGACTAATATCAAATTCGCAATTTTGTATGCCTATAATAATACAACTATAAATATTCAAAGATTATATTTTATTTGTATAAATATCGAAGTGATATTAACGACTTTCACTATAAAATAAAAAAGATACAATTAACCTTGCTCAGCCGTCTAATTATAATTACTCATTTTCTTTTTGAGATTTTCATAAAAATGATAAATTAATTTTTATAGGCACTATGTTTGGAAAAGCATCAATAGACCATCTATACCATTAATATACTTCTTATGTTTATAATTAACGATGGTAGTCGGTTTTTTTTTTATAATTCAGCTACATATTATATCATAATAGTATTTATTGTGGACAATTATACATGCAGTTAGGTATATATCATTAAACAAATAATGATTGAATTATAAAAAAAAAATAAAAGAAATACGAGGAAGGAAATCGCCGTTGACCGAATAATAAAATAAAATAATGTTAATGAAACCGCTCTGTAATAAAATAGAAAATGTTATACTTTGAAAGTGTCGCCAATAATTTAGTAGTTAATAAAGTACGAGTATTATTCAAATTAACCTATATGTGTTAGTACATCAGATATGGTTTACACATCGGATATCCTACATAATACACGTGTAGGACTGTGGGCATGTTGCGTTACTCAAATACAACGAAGTCACTATTATTGTTTTAAAACTTTATTTTAAATATTACAGTTCTACAATAATAATTACATAGATGCCCAAATGATAAAAACAAAAATGTTTTTACGAATATAATATGGAAATATAATGGTTGTCATATCATTACACTCAGGCCGTTTAGGGTAAAACTAACAATAATGAGGAAGAGAAAACTGAGAAGCCATTTTATACCGAAGGAAGTTTTAGTTGTAACTAATATAATTCTCTCTGTTTCTCAGTAAATAACTTTTTTCTAAAATGTTGATATTTTGCTTTGTGGAAATTACTTGTGTATTAAAATAAAATGACCACATCATTTGTATTTTCCGAAAAAACTGTTGGTAAACCGAAGCCAAATAAACTATAACGGAAATCATTATTTTTTTCATTTTTTAAAAATTTAAGATGTGCAGCCAATTTTTAATCGTTATTTTGTTTTCATATTCAAGCAAGTTATTCTTATAACGAGGGACGAGGGGCAATTGATTTTGAATCGTGGTTTTAATTGATAATTTAATGAAAATCGGAAAAAAAATGTATTATTTGAGTTAATTGAACAATGGAAACATTGCGCCAAACGTAAACATAATATATATCTCAATATAATAAAATAGTAAAATAGATAATAATTATTATTAAAATTTGAAAATACACGTACACGTGTAAATAGATACCTACTTAACACCAATAATTTAATAATTCTTTATGAATTAATATTTTAAGTTAGGTAACGTTTATAAGGAAAACATTTTGAAACATAATTTATGTGACTTTTAAAGATAAAAGCTATTTTTAAAAATCACATTTAAAAAAAAGTCAATAGATAAGAGTTATTTACTACAGGAACAAACATGAGGTACCCTGTATAAATATAATAAGATTTTTATTTAAACTCGTGAACCTGCATGACAATCGTTTATTTTTTTTTGACCGATCGAACGATACCCTTGACCTCGATACGGATGCCGCATCCGTATAGCTTGTGGTATTCTTACTATTTTCATTCTCCTCAAACCTTTGATTACTTTAATAACAATATCATATCGTATTGAATCTCTTGAAAACAGTTCATCTACAAATCAAACATGAATTTTTTTTTAAATGATGCTAAATACTAAGAAAAAAAAATGTATACAATGCCTATTGAGATTTTAAAATTACTACAGTTTTCTTTAATTTCTTGCTCTTATAATTAAGTATAAGCACTTATTAATTTAAATAAAACATACTAAACAAACTTTCACAATTTTATACGCATTTATATTACTTACTAACAAACAACGCAGATTATCATATACCTACCTATACACGAGAAAATAAAAGGCACACTTGCTCATAATAATAATAATAATAATAATATTATGTATCACTACCATCACCAGTTAGGTATACACAAAGAATTAATATAAAGAAAGAGTGAAACTTGAAAGACATGAAAATTGATAGTTTTATATCGAAGGATTTCATGTAGGTAGGCGTACTTATAAAATGAAGCCGGCGAGATCATTACGAATTGTTTGTTTTCGATTTTAAATGATTATAGTGCCGTGAAGAAAAAAGAGAAACATAGATATGTATATTCTTACACGTGTCTTAATGATAACAGGAGAAAATATAGAAAAGTCGTACTCGTATATTATGTATAATACAATGACCTTACTCCTTTAGGTTATTTTATATAGTCCGGTCATACATATTTATTATTTATACTACGGTAGAAATAAATTGTTTGTTATTGAATATCGCTTGTGAGTAATAACAATATGTCATCAACAATCGCGATGTCAATATAATATTATATGATTATGACCATAAGGATAGAACTGGTTTAACAAGTTATAAGTATACACAGTAAGGATTTGAACTAAATTAACTCGCAGGTTATGTGTCCCAAAATCAAACGTATATACAATTTGTATTGTGTAGGTTTCGATCTACAATTTAACACTAAATTATGCAAGTTATCTTGTCAAATTTTTGATATTCCGGGCGGAGCTAATCAGATGCATTAACCGATTATCATAAACATAGGCGTACCTGTAGAGGAGGGCGAGGGGCCCACCCGTGAGCCGTATAATTATATGAGTGACTTATTATTTGTTTTTAGTGTGATTACAATTATTTTGAAATTTTTTTTCGTGAAATACTTAGCTAATAATATAATAACATGGTTAAATCCATAGATATTAAAATATTTTTGTTATCTATGGTCGAACAAGGTCAAGATGTGTGGTGTTATCATTTAATTTTGGCAATTTGACCGTGGTCTCTAACATAGATTTCTAGTTACAAAATAAGGCCCGTTCTCACCAACGTAAACGTTGATTTTTAAACGGAGTTTATAAGATAATCGACCAATCATGGTCGGTTATGAGCCAAAAACTGTTTAAAAATCAGATAAACGCCTTTTTTTTTCGTTGTTGAGAACGGCCCTAAATGTGCCAGATTCGCTTATGTGGGCTTGCACTGTTGTATATTTACCAGAAATTGAGTAAATAAGTTGAAAGATTATCTTCTATAAAAAACCGGAGGTTAGACTTTGTATTTCACATTTATAACATGCGTTATAAAATTATATTTAATTAAATAAAAATGTCTTATTTTATGTATTAAAATCTTATATTTTATAAATATAAAAGAGCCCAATTACCATGTCTATTAATACAATAATTTTTGTAGCTGTAACATTACTTTTTTAAGGAATTTTGTATTTTAATAGTGGGTAAAAATATATTTCACTCACCCCCCCCCCCCATTAGAAAAGCCTAAGTACGCCATTGATCAAAAATGTTTCCGATCTTTTTCTTTTTAACTTAAAAAATGAACTGTTAAAAAAATAATAACAGTAATATTATAATGTCATTAGTCATTACATTTATACAAGAATAAAATACAATTTTAACGACAGAAGTGTACGACGATTCATATTTCACTGCTTATTTATTATAATTTTGTATTTTTGCAGATTTGAAGTAATAATATCTAAATACATTTAAGACGTATACAGTTCTACACCCGATAAAAACGAAAAAGTAATAGATTCTTAGTGATCTCTAACAAGACTTTTATACATAAAGATTAAACAATTATTTTATAACTACAATTCAAAACGAAATTACAATGGGTATTGAGTAGACACAATGTGATTTAACTGGTTTTTGCACCAATCGACACAGAATTTATAAAAACAAAACTAAAAATTTGACCTACGGTATATTTTATAGTTGATACACCTACTTTTAAATATAAGTTGTGAATTTTATTTAGTTTTAAATTATATAATAGCCAATTTGGTTCCTACAAAATAGTTGGGGTACCTATTTTTGAAAATTAATTTGAATATTCGGCCATTTTATTTCTATTTTGATGAGCCTTATCTATACACAAACTATGTAAGCTATCATCACTTTGAATTATGTAGCTAATTAAAATTTAATTAGTCAATTTCTAAGCAATTTCAAAATTTGTAAAAAAAAAAAATTAATTATTTATCATTTTAATACGTGTTTTTTTTTTAGATTCTGAGCGAGGAATGTATTGGTTCTACAATGATGTTTATTTTAAAAAAATTTTTTTCTATGGACAACTTTTCTACCAGAAACTTCACTCTAATTTTCATGTGTAGCACTTTTTCTGAAAGAAAATTTGACTAGGGCGTTACTTTATGAAGGTCATTTTTTTATTTTCCCAAGAATTTTCATAATAAATGGGAAAAAACGTAGGAAAAACAGAACAATTTACAAAATATATTATTTTGAAATCGTAAATATTACGGTCTTTTAAAACATGTACAACCGAACTCCGTTTAGAATCGTTTTACGTTAGTAATGATTAATCATTAAATTTCCCCTCTACTTTCCCAACTTCTCACCAACAACAGTAGCTCATCCATCATGCGATGTCCATATGGCCCTTTGTTTTGTTTATTTAGGTTAAACAAAAATAAGATAATTTAGTTAACTATAATTTACAACTAGTATACAATGCTAATTTTTTTGACCTTATAGTTTTTATTATAATAGCTGAGCTTTTAAAAATTTCGTGATAGCATCTTATATTTTTATACCATCTAAGATTTTTCAAACCACGACGAATGTACGGCGGACGTATGGTGAATTACATCCAAATTTTAGTTTTACTACTATAAATTAGTTTATAAAAAGATCAATTCGATCCAAAGAAAAAATGACCAATGTCCATCATCATTTCTTTTCACTTAAATATATCATTGACTCATAATATATATTGTATCATAAATATATACAATATAAACCTAACCGTATCTGTATTACTATTAAACTACTTTAAACGAATTTACCCGTATAACCATATTCACCCGTTGTCCGATGACTATACAATTAAAAAAAACTTAACAAAAGCGACTATATATAAATTATCGCGTCTACATAGTTCAGTTTAGACGAACAATATATTTCAATAAATAAATTATGATATAATAAGACCATCAGAAAACGTCATCGTATGCGTGGGAGGGCAGTGACGTCGTTTGATTTAGGCAACTTATGCATTAGTCGGAATCGACAATTTTGATTCTTAAATCAGCTGCGATAAACTAAATTGTACGTAGGGTTTCTTTTTAGGTTTAACTGTTTGACAATTTTCCATAGCTGAAAAAGTATAATTCTCTTTTAACACTACCAAGGCAGCATGAACGGGGTAAGATTGAAGCAACTGCGTCACGTAGGTGGTCAATTATTATTAAAATATGCCTATTTTTAATACCTCAACTTTTTTTAAATAAAATAGTGGGTGGGTAGATGTTTAAAAAGTACTGTGTCATTAAAATAAAAAAAGTTCACGCCACTATTAGACTAGTCGACAATATTTCTCCGATAATTTAATAATAATATAAAAACAGTAATTATATGAAATACATTTTTTTTTTCATTCAATATAAAATATTTTAATATTCTCTTTGATATTAACTACTATAACTCATAAAAAAAAAAATCTTACATCGATTATTAAACTTGTTCTGTAAAGGACAGTATAACACATAATTGATATCACCTTGACTTGTTCTAATTTTCTACGGGAAGAATTTAAATAAACAACTATTTTGACTGCACAAAAAAAAAATTGTAATATTATATATTGCGTTAATACTTGCCACTTATCTTATGCAAAAATTATCTTCTGTGTATTCAGTTCATCAGTTGTTTAGTTGATTGCCTAATATTCATTTAAAAAGTAAAATGTCATTGAAGTAAGAAGTTTTACTATCTAATCAATAATCATGTTTACCGTAATTTGAGCTACTGGTTTGAACCCTATAGCATGGTTACATTTAATCAAATAATTTTATATTAATAATATTTCCCATATAATAAAAAAGTACTTACTTATATACAAAGTGATTCAGCGTATGACTTGTTTGTATTTTTTCAGGGAGGCAAGATAAAAATAACAATTAAATGTTTACAAAATATTTAAATAAAAAATTGGCGGTTTAATTATGTATTTAATTGTTGTTAATTGTTCAATGTTAGTTTGTTTTCTATGATTTATGGGAGTTTATGCAAATTTTAATTGATCTAGCATGTTCGTTGCAATTAAAATACATATTGTTATTATGATAACCACTAATTCTATGGGTGAAAAAACTTAACAATATTATTAGGCAACAAAAAACTTGAACATACTGAATAGAATTAGGAATCGTTATGTAAAGATTAAAAATAAAATAAAACTGAATAGGATTTTATTAGGTACCTATAACTAGAACTAATTTTATTTTAGACATCTTTTGCCTATAAAATAAATTTCAAACCATCACACACATTTTATTACGTACAAAAAATAGTTATCCATCTTCACACATAATAATATTTGTTAATATAAAAATAACATCTATATTCGTATTATAAAAAAATACTTTGAGCAGTAGAACTCCATCACTAGAATCAAATTTCCTCCTGGCCGAATTTTTGCAGTTACAATATTTCATTTTTTTTTTTTTTTTTATAATTGACTTAAAATAGTTATGGTTGCCACAGGTTTATTATATTTTAGTCTGTAGGGGTATTTAAAATCCGGTATTTCCTTTGGAAACCTAAAATTTTAGCATAAAAATAATTGCCGGAGTGTTAAAAGTTGAAACTACTAAAATGCTCATCATTGATACTCCATTAAGCATATAATATTATCCTCATGACTTCATTAGGGGGTACATAGGGGTGTACAAAGCTAATAAAACACCTATCATCTGCAACAGCATGATGTAATTCATACTAAAATTCAACCAAAACGTTATCACCCCAATGCATTTATAAAAAAAAAATCCTCTTAATTCTCGAGCTTGAACTCATTTGATCCAGAGACAGCCGCTGCCTCTCTGCTATCGGAGAAACGATATACATAATAGACACAATACATTTCAATAGTCTCTATTCTTATAAATAATAAAAAGTTTTAAAATTGTACAATGATTTGTTGACTAAATAAATCAATATTCCAACTGTTTTCAATGACTGCAAACAGTGCAGGCGACAGCTAATGTCAACATATATATATATAAAAAAAAAGTAAGTGTTAGATACATGTTCAATTGTTGATTTAGTGTGATGACTAGAAATCAATAACACACACTATTATTGTATAATATACCTCATACCTATTATGTATTTTGCTGATGTTATATTACTATCTACAGTCGACTTGTACTATTATAAATATATAGGTACATACAAAATATTCAAAAAAAGAAGTCTTTCATTTTTTCTATTCTAAACACCTTATTATAATTTACCGTTATAATTTTTCTACATTGGGATACTATATCTTAATATATAAAACGGTAAGTCAGTGGATCTTTGTCAAACATTGAATATTTTTAATTTAAACTGCGGTCATGTTAAAAAATAAATGAACATAATATTATAATAAATCCTAAATAATGTTTAGCTATCTATGTTATAGACAATAGAAATATTATCGGATCATCAATCATAATTTTATAATTATACGAGTGTATGTAGTATATAAAAAACAAATTCATTAAGAATGAATGTTTTGCTATCATATCCTATATAGTATAAGCATCATATCCGCCATCCACGTATAGGATATGTGATCCGTTCATTGACGAAACAATGAAATATCCCGATACATAATTATGTGCTTAATGTACAAAAATATTAACAATTGTTCACGAGTTTCGATATAGAACACGATGCTAGGTATATTCCCTATATATGAAGACCGAAATTCGATACACTCTTTATGTTAAAAAAATAAAACACTTCTCCCGATCAGCTAAATAATTTACAATATTAATATTATATAGTTCTAAATTTTATATTAGTGTAACCGTCTCGCAAAAATGAATCATATTACATACCTAACCTTTACATAAGTTCGAATTTTTAGCCAGCTGTATAACGTGTGTGAAATTACGCTCCCCCCACTTTGAACTTTCAACTCTAAACCAATACCAATATTTTGTAACTCATTTGTAAGTATTTGAAACTCAGTTTTCAGAATCTCTGTATTTTGGCCGCTATCAAAGTTTTTGTGATGGGGGACTAACTTCACGTTAGCCCCACATTTAGTCCACCTTCGGCGGACTAAATGTGTTCTTTTGTAAAATTTTAATAGTGTAAGTAATTGTAATCATAATAATTTTAATAGATTTTTTTTCTGTAACAACCCTTGAATAAACAAAAATAAATAAATAGACAATTAGATATTCGTACCTAATATACCTAATAACCCCTATAATTTTAAAATATAGTAAAGTAGTTCTCGAGATTTTCGCTAACATACAAATAGACGGTGGGGATCGGGAATTTAAATTTTAAACTTTCTCATGGCACATCCTCGACAGCAATTATATTTATGTATGCCGACTACATTTTAACAGAGTTACTTATTTCTAAATTATTTAAAACCCGGTATTTCTTATGAAAACATGAAATTTGAATATACAAATTATTGCTGGGAAAAGGGAGGGGGGATAAAGTTAAAACCATCCAAAGGAAAAATCATTGATACTTATACCATGCATGTACAAATTCATTTCAGGGTCTGTAGAGGTGTAAAAAACTATAAAACAAAACCCCCGTCTTCAAAACACACGGTGAAGTTCATATCTAAATTCAACCAAAATGTTAGTTATTCAGTTCACCGACAAAAAAATTCTGGTTCCAGAATTTGAGCGCATTTCGTCCAGGAGTCACTAAAAATGTCTAAAAGAACCATACAAATGGATTTATAATTATATAGCAGTAACAGTCACATTACAGTGCATTAGTATCTATTTTTGGGAAAATATCAACAAAAAAATATATTATGATTCTATACGCCGTTATGGATTGTAATAATGTTTGAAATTCAAACGAAATTTACTCAAATGTTCGTGTAGATTATGTGTGGTTCATGTTAAAATAACCATCCTGTATAATAACTATCAACTATTTACGTAAACTATTATCTCTAATCATGAATTGTTATATTTGTTTGCTTTAGATTCTCGACATATTATGCTGTTCAGGTTGCTAACAACATGGTTACGTCAGATAGTAACGTTCATTACTGTGTGTGCAGTCTTCACAGCAGGTAACGACAATAATAATAAATTAAGAAGAGTACCAGACAAATGCAATTTATAATACATACACAAATATTAACATGATGCTCACCACTCTATAGTCTATTTTCTTCGCAATAAATTATCATACAATTTCAATAGAACTATAGAAAAATCCACTTCCAATTATTAGCAATAATTATTATTCCGATTACAATTTATTATCTTATATAATAACACAAATTTTCTTACTATATTTAACGCATACATAGCCAGAAATGTTTATCAAACAAAGTTTGATTTCTCGTATGAAATATTATGAGAATAAAAAACATCAGCACCTTGTCAATCAAGTTTAATACTTATTTCAGATGGACAAATTCAGATTAGTTTAGGTTTTCATTGGATTGCAAATATTGCCATTGTCCGATTTAAATAATTTTTACAAATAGATTTTATATTGGTTTTTTAAACTATTATTATTATTTAAGAAATACAAGCAAAAAAAAATAAAAGAATAAATATTTGTTAAAAATATAAACAATAAACGCTAAACTTTCACTTCAATAATATTGTAATTTAAGATAAAATAATAATAAGATAAATAGAGAGCACATTGTGTCAGTATAGTGAACATTTTTCAAATCACTTAAAATACGTTTCGTAATTTCGAAAAAAAAAAAATCTACAACTTACAGCACATTTTTAGTTAAGACATTGGGTATTTAGATGATATTAAAATATCACTATGGAATTTGAAAAGGGTAACACCAAATAATTAATATTTAATAATATATAGGAATAATGGAATGTAGCACGGTATGTAAACATTTGAAATTAACCTGACAAACTTTTAAAAATTAATGTTACTCTGAAAATCTCTGTCTAAAAAATGATGGTGTCTGCATTGTGTACGAACTTCCGAAAATGATTTTGTCGTTTAATAATCTGTATAAGGGGTTTTGTATAAGCAATTTCAACGACATTTCGAAAAACGTCAAAAATCATTTTGTGAAACCGTTAATAACGAAAAGCGAGAATAGTTAAAATTTACATACAATTCTTAATTTATTGCTTTTCAACTAAAATATTTTAAAATAATTGTACATAGAAAATTGACTATAAGCTGTAATGAATATTAATATTCACATTTTTTTTTTTTTTGTTCACTAAAGAATTCACCGTAAACAATAAAATACATTTTGTTCAAATCATCATATTTAAATATATTTATACTTTGTTCGCAAAAATATCGTCGACAACATTATAATTTATAATTTTACATGTGAAAAATATACTCGTTAATAGATTTACACTCCCGATATTTAAGGCGTCACGTATAGGCAATTTAAACATAATTTTTGAAAAAATTTAAATTGATTGGCTCACAAATATTTTAATTCACTTTGAAACAGATTTACAAGTATTCCGATGCCATAATCAAAAGTAGTTCTTATCGAGCAATCGTTGTGAGAGATGCTTTTATCGTAGTGCGTCGCATGCATAGACTATAATATATAGACCGCTCATCAGTGAAATATATTGAAGCCAACATATGTGCAAGAGAGACAGACTCTGGTGTTACTTTTTCAAGGAGTATAAACAATTTTATAATATTTAATTGATTACTATAGTGCTATCATCAGTACATTATAAAATTCAAAATTTTAATTATTTTTAATATTATTATTTTCGTTATTCTTATTTTGTAATATAAATATTTAAAATCTCAAAGATTATTGTTTAAACTTTTTATGAATTCCTTGGAAAAGTAACGTCAAAGTCTGTCACTCTCGCACATATGGTGGCCTCAAAGTGTTTAAACCACATAATCGAAATACGCGGTCTATATATTATAAGTCTATGGTCACATGCGTTTTGATTGTACTACAGATATATAAAATGTTGTTTGATATATCTATGGCTTATACCGAGTTAGTGCCGTCTTTATCTTTACTTATAAATACTTTTGATATCAAACCATGCCGTGCGGTAAGTGCAATAGTAATGTTTCTCCCGGAGACCGGTAGTTGTTCGAAAAATGATAAGAGCCCTCGAGTACAATAATTTTGAAATGTTGCCATCACCAACATAATATTTTTTATTTTTAATATAAAATAATTTGATATTTTAAATATGTGTTCACTGATTTCATTATTTATACATGCTATTTCATGCTATTGTCTTATAAGTTATAGAAAAACCTTAGAATTTATAAACTTTAAACTTTATTTAATCTGTCCCTAAAGAGTTACTGTTAGGTTAAGTTAAATAAATTTAAATTTATTTACCTCTTGAAGCTAAGTTTGTTTTGGGGTAAATTAGTAATCATAAATTGCAAATGTTTTAAATAACATCAAGCTATATACTAAATCTTTAAATAAATTATAAAATATATCATTCTTCCGATATATGGGGATTAACAAATTTTGTCTTTTATTTTAGTTACATAATTGTTATAAATTTAATTTTTATAATTATTTTAACAAATATTTTAACTAGTTGTATCTACAGTAATTTATTATTTCTTTGTAAAAGATCTTTCTCGGGAAAATGTTTTCGGAAAAAATTAATTCAACCTACTCTACCATTAATAATAAAACAAATTACTTTATAAGCATAATAGCATTTAATAGTTTAGTCTGAACATGAATACAATAAATTCATAACATTTTAAACAATTGAAATATTTTATTCTATTACGTTGGTGTACATATAGGTGGTTAGTGATAAAAATATCTTATCATTTTCGAACAACTAGCCAACACCCAATGTCTCCATCTAAATTGCCTATATTTGCAGTTTGTATAAATTGTGGTTAAAATTTCCATTCAGTGTGTACTTCATTGAAAACTATAAGGCCGTTAAAGATTTTGGATTGGCGAACCGTGTAATGAGAAATTGAAAGAAAAAGTTGTATCATGTAGGAATTTAGAAAAAGTACTTAATAACGATGATGGCAATTATGTATATGACTTTGATTCAGTTAAAATTGACTTAAAAAAAGTGAGTAAACAAATTCAACCCATCTCGTTCAACATAAAATCCATATCCTTCTGTTTTGAATTAATTGATTAGTTTGGGTCTAAATTAGAGTATTTTAATTAAAATCTGTGAAATGGAAAATAAAATGCAAGTTTATGAATTGCGTTGTAATAAATTGGAGAAATAATTAAACATTCTTAAAATTATAAACAATTATTCTGAACAATTGACATAAGTCAATAGTATTGAAATTACTGGAATTCCAAAAATTACCCAATGAAAATATTACTAAAATAGTAAACATCATTTCTAGAGTGCTAACCTGTTAATTAAATTGTAAAAACGTAATTAATTTCTCTGGAAGTAAATCTCATCAAAATAGTAATGGAAGAGGAGTTGTTCAATTTAATTTAAAATTCAAAATTCTGTTAAAAATGCAGTTATTAATAGCATAAAGTCTGGTTACAAAGGGAAAAATCCTTTTATGGCTAAGGATATTCATTTAAGTTTTGGTAACTCTAGTGTATTCATTAATGACCAACTTACTAAAAACAACAAAAAACTATTATGACTAAGAAAGTTGGAAAGTATTATAATTATAAATGCACATTGGCTAACATGACTGAAGTATTCATTAGAAAACAAGGACCAATTTTCAAAATTCAAAATTTAAATGTTACGAAAAATGGATGTTGAAAAAAAAGATATTGGCGTTATGAGAATGCTAATCATAAAATAATTTTACAATAATGAATAATTAATCCTTAGCACGAATATTCGTAGCATTCATTTCAATTTTAATGAACTAATTATTTTTTTAAGTAGTACAGATTAAATTTGATATAAACTGTTTGAAAGGTGGTCAAAAAAACATATTTTTAATTTTCATTTTGATGGCTTTTCAAGTTTTAATTATTATAAAAAATTAAATAAATCTGATGGTATTATGGTTTTTATTAAATACTCTTTAAAAGTTAATTTGGTAAATTTAGGATTTATTAGTGATTGTAGCTCATTATACTTTAATATTTTATGTAATGATTCTGTTCTGAATTTAATATGTGTTCTTAATATGTGATCTCCAAGTTTATTTTATGAAGAATTTTTAGATAACTTGGAAATTGTTTTGGATGGTATTATCAATACTACTTCTTGAATATTCTATGGTGATATAAATATTGATTTAAATGCATTAAATGCAAAGCTAAAAGATAGAAGGAGTACTTCATAGATCTTCTAAATGCGGAAATACCAGTGAACCCGATAGGAAATGCACAATATCAGACAACGGAACCAATGATTAGTGATATAACATTGGAGGAAATCAAGATGCTATTAATAGCCTAAAGAACTGGAAAGCTCCAGGATTTGATGATATACCGGCTGAGCTTATCAAATACGGTGGCGAAGAAATGCACAAGATTATCTTCAAAATATGCCAAAAGACTTGGGAAGAAGAACAAATGCCTGAAGACTGGAAAAAGGCAGCAATTATACCCATTCACAAGAAAGGTGATAAAACTGTATGTGGAAATTGCAGAAGAATATTGCTCCTAAACTCAGCATATAAAGTATTCTCCAAAGTGCTACTGAACCGTACAAGTCCCTGTATAGAAGAAAACCTGTGGGTGAATTCACCCGTAGGTGAATATCAATGTGGTTTTAGGAAGGGTAGGTCAACTATTGAACAAATTGCAATTATTGGTCAGATCATAGAAAATAAATATGAATTTCGACAAAACCTCTGGCAGATATTTATAGACTTTAAAAAAGGCTATGATAGCGTTCATCAAGAGAGTGTGTACAACGTAATGACTGAATTTGGAATACCGAAGAAGCTAAGGAACTTAGTCAGGATGTGTATGGAAGGAACACAATATCAAATCCGGGTAGAACAGACGTTTTTCGAAACATTTACAGTAGAAACAGGGCTAAAACAAGGGCATTATCCCCACTATTGTTTAATCTAGCTCTAGAGAAAGCGGTCAGAGAGATACAAAAAGAAACAACGGGTGTAGAAATAAATCAGCAAAATATTCAAATCCTAGGTTTTGCTGATGATCTTAACATCATACGCAATACTATTGATGACATAGAAAAAGCAACGAGTTTTAGAAAAATCAGCAGATAAAATAGGACTAAAAATAAACATCGAAAAGACGAAGATCATGGAGCTTTTAGATATGGATGCAGATGTAACGGTCCCTGACCCGGATGACTGGATATATGAAAAAGTTAACGAGTTTAAATACCTTGGCATATGTGTAAATACAAAGAATGACTGATCACAGGAGATTGGGTTAAGGATAATGAAAGCAGGGAAGGCGTCCTTTGCATTATCCAAATTTTTCCTCTCTTTTCAAACAAGGTAATAAAAAAACTATTTAATTTTTCTTAACTTAACTATACCTTATCAAAAGTTCTAGAAACATTTTTAAAAAATTTCCTTGAAAAAACTTATGCTTTTTCTAAAACCTAATTTGATTTCAGACATAACAAAGATACATTGATAGCCCTACAAACTCTTCAGTTGTATACATAATAAATCGAATGAGAATAACTCAGTTCTTCTAATTTTCCTTGACGTAAAAAAAGCAATTGATTGTGTCGACTATAACATATTATTTTATAAGCTAGATAAGTACAATATTATAGGGGTAGCAAACAATTTAATTAAATGTTTTTTTAGGAAATTGTACCAAACAGGTTCATATTAATGATGATTTAAGTTACTTATATACCCTAAATTATGGTGTCCACAAGGTAGGTTTAGGCTTTTAGAGAAAATCATTTAAATATATTTAAACTTTATTTGTCTAATATGTATATTTCTTTAAATGCAAACATATTATGCATTTTATTTATTAGGCAAGATTAACCGTGAAACAAACTATAAAATGAAAACCTCGTTTTGCCAGGCATTATTATTCTCGCACCATAATAAAATTTCAGAACACTGGTAATGTGTTTTTCATTTTGATAGCATTATTATCTAATGTTATCATTATAACTAAGTAAATAAAATTTAAAAAACAAAAGTTAAATAGGGATAAATTGAATTGTATAGTGGTGGCATGAACTTTCTTCACCTCACTGATCTGGGAAAATCCTTGAACCCACCAACCTATTTATCAATTAACGACACTACGCCTCCTCATTTTTGTAATGTAATATACAGGTATTGTACACATATACATTATATTATTATTATAAAAGAAATCTTCGTCTTTGGCAAAAACAATAAAACTTCAAACACAGACTTCCAATTTAGTTAACAAACGTTCACCTATAGCTGACCTAGCCAGGATATTTATTTTGAAAAAATAAACTACAAGTCCCCAGACTCACAAGTCACAGAACTACCCTCGCACCACCACTGGTTGTAAAAATAATAAGCACTACTATTTGTATTAATATATTGTGCTGATAATTGTTTGGTGACATTTTATAAAACAAAAAAAAGGTGTACCTATTAAAACAATGTCGAAATCGCATAACAGAAACAAGAGCCACTGTACTGGACACTATTTTTTATATAACATGGAGTTAAGCCATTTTACTGAAATTGCAACATTAGGTATTTTATTTTATTATAGTCATACAAATAATAATAAAGCTAAACTACAATAAATTGTGGAAAATTATATACCTCATAATAAACATCAATTATGAAAATTACAAATAGTTTACAATCAAATAATTGCATTAGATAAAATACACAATAGACAAATATATATTATATATAAAGAATAAATTTAAAAAAAAAAATTTTAAATGTTATATTTATTTATACTCTGATTATAGAAAAAGTAATAATGATCCATTACATGTTATAATAAAACAACTATAATTGTATATAATTTACTAGATAAAGATCATATCATGAGATGGAGAGAAAAAGAATAAAATGCATAATTTATTATGGATTACATGAATAATTAGTAGTGGGATTATTTTTTTCTGTAGTTAACTATTGTTTATTAGGTAATTTATGAAACTTGGTGAACTGTTCTTGGTATTCAGCAATAGCTTTCACAGCTTCATTTATTGTATTACACCATTCATCTCGCTCCTCTGGTGTATCAAAAGCTAGTATTAATGGATCATCCAAATTAAAATCAAGAGGATATTCATTTGTATTTTTATTTTGACCATGAGCAGTAAATAGTAGCCGCGCTGCATTTGGTTTAACATGTAAATCAAAATATGGTTGGGCAGCAGGAAGTAATCCCATTTTATAAGGTTTTGACTGTATTACTCCTAATTTTAATGGCAAACAACCACTTAGATCAATGATACCCCCTATCTCTCGGTTTTCTTCACCAGGCTTATGATACAGCCAGTATTTTAAAATCACAGTTTGTGGATATGTTTTTTCATTAATTTGTGTACCATTATTATCTTCATTATCATCCTTCACAGCAGTAAGATCATTGACTTCAACTTTGAACCATAAACGAGTCCACAAAGCCATGCTTTTCATTTCGTCATCTTTGTTTAAGAAATGCTGCCATTTTGATGTTTTATTTGATTCAAAGTTAAAAGGAATGCGTAATGCAGATTCATCTAATAGTGTAATAAATCCTTCAGTAATCTTGCACTCTGATGGTAATTTCAATGGCTTTATTAACAAATTTTCCTGACTTTTAGACAACATACTATTATTTAAGTCTGATTGAACGTGTCTGTGAACATAGTTCTCACCATCTTCAAGTATCTGCATACCTATATGAGCAACTTTTGGTTCACAAGTTGGTACAGCAGAATTTGGAATACTTGTACTACCTTTGAACTTATAAACATAATTTAATGTAAACTGCTGGCAATCCACTTTGTTGCTAGAAAACACAAAGAAGGCGAGTTTACCGTACATTGTATTCCGTACTGCTGATGATATCGCAGGTGATTCTGTTGGATAGAGTCCATATAACTCTACAGTTATTTTCCGCTCACTATTTTCCAAACCATCAATTATAATAGGGGTGCCTTCAGTATCAGGACATATGCGGCCAGAACTATCAATTTCTTTGTTAATAAACTCTACATATTCATTATAGGGAATGTTATTATTTAAAATGAACCGATTAATTGACTGATTCAATGTATCAATAGGTCGGGTAGCTATTGTTATAGGTGGTCGATACACTGTACCTGCCGCTCGAATAACACACACAAAATACCTAATTTCCTGAGGCCATTTAATCAAAGTTTTTGTTCGAAGATCAGCTTTGTTCTTAATAGAATAATTTTCCCTAATCATTGCAGTCAATAAAGGAATACGTAGACTGTAAATAACAAGTCTTTTGCCATTTCCAGGGGGGCAAGAGCGATATCTTCCAGCTATGCCTTCGGAGGATAGATTATATTCATTATGTAGCTTTTTGATCTCTAACATTGCATCTGTTCGCTTTAAATTTGCAATCAGTAAAAGACCCTCAGCATCCAAATGCTCATCTGAATATTCATTATGCCTAAGATACTGGTAGTTTTCTTCTCTATACGCATCAACTATTCTCAGTGTTTGGGTAGCTCGTCTTATTATGTTATTTTGCTCTTTAATTACAGTATCCAACATTGCTACACGTTCTGCTAAGGTTACCATTTTCTCATCAATATAATTATTTTTCGAGGATTTTTCTTTTCCATATTGTTCCTTAGTTTTCATTCTGTTATTAGCTAGTCTGAGTTGTTGCTGCTTACGATACAAGTTAATTGTTTTTAAAAGCCGTGATTGGGTAAATGTGTGCGTATGAAGTATTTTTTTGAAGTCTTGCGACTTTTTAGAATTAAAAAAGTCATTACATACCAGTGGTTGATAGAATGTAAAACTGTTGGAAGCTTGAGAAAACGGTCCATTAGGATCTAATGGCAATGATGATGTTTCTGGAGTTGAGCTTTCTTTCTTAATGGCTACCGTAAAACTGTCTACCAGTGACTTCACAATTGTATCTGTAATAGATTCCATTGAAATATTGCAGGGATTACTGGGGACTAATACTCTATCATCATCAAACACCTCATCTAATTCGGTCCATGTATTATACCATTTCTTTTTTAACAGTACAGTTTTTATGCCTGATGAATTCCAACTACCATAATTTGCTGAGTTTGTACTACCAGAATATTCTTTAGAGAACGATTTCATTGTTGAAGATCTATATTTAAAAAAACTTTGAGGATTATTATCTTTATTAGTAACTGGTAGTGACTGATGTTGATGCGTAAATAATAATTTATTTTTATACTTTTTTTGTGGCGATGTTAATAGTGGTGATAGCTGTAATTCATCTAATTGATTTGGTATGTCATATGCTGCTATTGGCTCATTTGATGCTGATTCTTCTAACTGTCTTAATAGTACAGTTGTATTGGCAGTGGTTAGCGGTTGAGACTCGAATGTCATTTTTAACATACTCGGTGAAAACTGTTTAGGTTTATCACTCATAGTATGTCTGCGCGCTACAGACTATTATAGCTACCTAGTTTAAACATAAATAAAATCAATAATCATAGAATACAAATTGTTCTAGTCAATAACTAGGTACCCAGTAATATAAATTATTATTGTCACGCCATTATGATAATATTATCATTATAATAGTTATCATCAGTGATATTAGTGGATGCCATCGCTCTACATTTTTAATTCCTTTACTTATTTTGACCAGAATCCCTAGACTCTCCTAAGACTTGTGTTTTAAAATTAAGTAGATACATATTACACATTAGCAAATCGGTTATGAAAATTATTTTTGTTTTTTTTTTTAATTTTAATTGTTATTGTACTAAGATTATATTACTTTTATCTTAGAGGAAATTTTAAAGTTTTTTCAGTAAAAATATTGTATTCATGCTTAAAAAGTTTTGTTATCAAATAATATGTTATCACACCATCCTCAAATGTTTTATTAAAATACTAGTTGTATCGCCACCTGCCGTTGCCTGTTTCAATTTTTTATTTATAATAATAATTAATAATTGGAACCTTCATTTCCATCCCCACCTCATACAGTGCCGTCCTGTCCGGCTTCACCCCATTTTGTATCGTTTCATACTCTCTATTAATCGTTGTTGCCCTTTTTCTTTTGTGCTAGAAACATATAACTACAGATCACTCGTTTTTTTCGGAGACATAAGGCATAACAACACAAATATAGCATTAAAATATGTCGATTAAAGGAATGTAGCATTCGTGCCAAATTTGTATTTATAACAATATTAATAGCAGTTTATTTTGTTTATGTTTATTACCTAGGTAATCAAATAATTAAAATAATAAAAAAATAATTAGATTTTTGGATTTTTGTACTAAAAAAAAACTCTAAAACAAAATTTCAGGGGTAAAGTGGTTGAATATTAAAACTCTCCTATAGCCTATTATTATCTTCCCAGGAAAATTCTGAACATTTTACAAAAAATTGCATTAAAATTGCTCCAATAGTTATAGGATTTATAAAGGACATACTTACAGACAGACATTCATTACTATAGGTATATATATCGGATAGGTTCATAATTAGCCTTATAAAAGAAATAATAGTTTTTATTTTATTACAATTTTAATAAAATATTTTTTTGTTTTTTTTCCTAGCAAATTTAAAAACATGTTATTTCTTGTTCAATATGATAGGTAATGGTTTGCTGCATAAATTAATAGTGTTGAATTAGTGTATTAACTATAATAATAAAAAATTAATACTTTATATTTTTTTAAACAAATATTATAAGTAGAAGAATAAAAATCTAAACATTTGTGTTAAAATGGTTTTATGTAATTTATAGGTACTTCCATTTAGAATGAACGTGGTAAAATAATTGTTACACTTATAAAAAGGTGCTAATAGAATTAGTATTAAGGAAATAAAGACAAGACTATTTTGCAATGGAGACTAGGTATTTTTGACTTGGACATGAATATTGAAAAAATATTGGGGGCAATTCTGTGTTCTTATTTGCGTCTTAGCTAACCTATGTTATGATATGAGGAAATGTAAGGCATTTTGTGTCACTTCGATTACTGCCTATCATACAGGTTTATACCCAAGTTACATACTCGTACAATAATATTCCAACACGTAATTAGCAGGTAGGTACCGTGATGGAGAACAGCCGCGGTCAAAATGACGATCGCAAATAAACGATACGGGTAGAGCGGTATTTTCATGAAAACGGAAAATCCGATTGGAGAGATAACGCGGACCGTGTGTAAAACCACTATAAAAACCAGACAATAGTATCTATATCACGGGCGACTAAATAATTTATCATACATCACGACGCCTAAAGAAATCGTATAGAACCACGGCGTCCATTTTAATTAAATTATAATTTGGTATTGTCGAGTAAGTACTTACCGTTTTCGACTTTTGCGGATGACGTCGACGCTTAATTTGAGAAACGATTATTGCCGCGACACTCACAATTCATAGATTGTCATAACCGTAGACTCGATAAAAGATAGTATGGACTACTGGACTACTGGACTACTGGAATGAACATCTGAACATGACCAAACAAAATTCAAAAACTATTTAGCTTGTCGGTTATCGATCGTCAGCTCTATACGATATGACACACTCTAGCGGAGAACATATTAAATATATTATACTAACTAATCAATACCTTAATTATTACTATCAGAGAGCAGCTATTTTTCTGTAAATCACCACTTCGTGTATATAGCACGGGAAACGGTCAATTGGTCCTCGCGATAAAATGTTGAATGTGAACAATCGGTGCCCTTCATAATTTTATACGGACAATATGAGTCCCGAGGAAATTTTGTTTTCACGCTTTTAGATTACTTCTATGAACACATGATACACTACCACACCCATAGATGATAATACAATTCAGATTGATGGTAAATTAAATCGTTATCAAAATATGTCGTCATATGGGGCAATATGGTAGTTAATATAATTTTTATAAAACAGAGTTGTGATTTATATGGATCTACGTCAATTGGTCCCCACGAAAAAACGTTGTATGCGAACAATCGCCCCTCGTCATAATTTTATACACCGGCAATTTATTTATCCCTGGGAAATATTTTTTTTAGATTTCAAAGATTTTAACCTAAAATCGTCTCTAACATCTGTTTAGTTGTTATCATTTTTGGCGGGAAAAATTCAAGTGAATTAAAAAATTATGTTCTTCCATTCGACCAAAACCGGTCTTATTTTGTGTAAAATCAACATCTACTTCCACCTTGAATTAATGCTAATATTTAATTGCTCTAGTACAAATTTATTCGTAAATTCGATTACTGATAACACTATCACAATCGAGAAATAAAAAATATCCCGAAGTGAAAATATTTTTTCTTGTGTTTTTCATATTAATATTTTAAATAGCTATAACTAATAATAACTAGTAAGTTAATAAGTTATTAATAATTAATAACTTATTACCTACAAATTAATTTTTGATATACATAATAAAATCTGATGATATTAATAACACTATCATGCATGGCCTGTCATCTAAAAAATTAAAAACTATAAGTGATAAATTCAGTAATTCGGAATGAATTAACAAGTTTCACCAGAACTTTAAACACACAATTAACTACAACTGTCAATTAGTATATTCTATACATAGTTAAGTATAAACGACAAAAATATGCTTGTCGCATATTTGTTTAATTACAAATGTATTATTATTAAACTATTCATCACGCGTGTTTACTAACTAAAACAACAAACTATATAGTAACCAATTATTAGAAAACCCTTTTACTAACTCGAAATGAACAGTTATAAAATTCACCAAACAGTTTACTCACATGCAAAACTGTTGAAATCGGTGAACTCATACACATAATAGATAAGGTTAGCATGTTTGTGGCTGAATAGTAACCAGATTACTCAAAATTGCATTACAATAACAGACCTATTATTATAAGTAATATCTAATTGCATAGGTGCATAAGATGTTATATCTATATAGGTACCTATAGTAATTCAATTCTAATAATTACTTATTATTGATCGTGTTAATTAGTAGGAATTTGTTATGGGGAGGGACATTGATAATGTATTATAAATGTCCCGTATAACTACAATTGATAATTAAGGTACCTATTTTTTAATAACTAAACAATTACTCCACAGTCACAGTAGGTACAACACAATATATAATGTTGATGAATTTGATTTCAGGAGTTCCAATAGAAAATCCATCACGAATCTTACAATGGACTACCCACAACATGTCTGTATGGGACGACATAATATTGTTGAGCAAAGATACCGCAGATCATCAGCCATTGCTTATGATCAACCAAACTGGTGTTTACACTGCTCCAGACATTGAAAAAATGGAAAACCAGACATTAAAAGAGTTCCAAATTTTAAAAGTAATTCGTAGCAATAAAATTAATACTAGATTATAATGTTTAGGTTAGTTCAATACAAATTTTTGATTAAAGCTCATCTTTTAAAATTAACAGACATGCAAATTTATCTACATATTTTCAATAAATATATAAATGAATAATTTATATGTAGAAAGTAAAAAATAAATAAATGTGTTAAATAACATGAACCCACAGATTATAGAATATCATCCTTACCACATACCTTCCACATCTCCCTATATTCATTACAATTGCTTCTCCAACTCCACATAATATATCCGTATACCTCCTCTAAAAACTTGTACAGCTATTTTCTCTTTTGAATTCTTACCTCTTGAGAAAAAGTTCTATATAGGTACCTATCTACTTCAACTTAAACACTTCAACTCAATTAGCAGATTGACTATCTCACAACCGTCTCTCAATATCACAATTTACTTCCTGTCATACATTTCATCTAAAATATATTGTACGCAGGTTTGTGGAAAATAATTGTGGTTTTTACAGATGAACTACACTAAATATTTATATGAAGTCGATGGAAAGACAATGACCAACAAAGAAGAAGGTCGGGCTTCTCGGGCCGGATTACCCCGTTTCGTGGATAAAGCGCTGCAATTGCTCAATTTGAACCAGGTAGTGGGTGAGGTGGAGACAAGCGTCATGTCTAAAATGTCATGTACTGCATGCAGAGCAGGAGCTGGTCTACTGCAACACTACATAAAAAATGGCAAAACTCAAGACGACATCGCAAAAATTACTTACCAGTTCTGCACTAGTTTCAAATTGCAGACACCACGAGTTTGCGAGGGCATTACTGAAATGTTTAGCGTGAGTGTTATTATTAACATATTATTGCCATACAAATGTATTATACCACCGATTTGTTTAGGGCGAAGTGGTTTACGTTCTACAGAGAGTTACCATAGGACCAGAAGAAATCTGCAGTTTCGTCATTGGCGACGTTTGTGGAGATGTATACAACCCAACACACGAGTGGGATGTAGTTTTTCCTCCGGTTCCCAAACCTACTCCAATCGAAATTAAAATTCTAAAAGTAATTTCTATTATTATAATTGCACAATGTAGGTATATATCCTAATTGCACACCAAAGTTCATATAAATGATCCATTATAACAAAATACCTTTCCCTTTTTTCAAGATGACAAATTGCCATCCAATTTTTTTACTTAACCCCAAGCATAAGAAATATTCATACCAAATAAGTTTAAATGTGAGAATTAGCTATAAAATTATCAAATTGTAAAACATTTCAAATATAGACAATTTTTATCGGATAGAGTTAAAATTTCTAATACCTAACAATAAAATTTATTCATACATTTTATACCCCATTCTAACCAAACTTATTTTAATATTTGATTTGTTTTCAATCAATTAATATTATGCAGAAAAACTTCTATTGCAAACTACTAAACTTGTTTTTTATAAAAAAAAAAAAGTTATTGTAAAACTAAATAGTAGTTATTACCTGTTTAAAATTTCTAATACTGTAAAAGTACTTTTAACATCCTTTGAGCATCTTTATTTGGAAACTAGTAGTCTTACAAATATAATACATGATAGATTTATAAATAATAAATACTATATAAGTGAAATTAATAAAATTATAAAATATTTCAGGAACCAGTTCCTCAGTTCAAAGTTCTTCATTTGTCTGATACCCATTTTGATCCTTATTACGAAGAAGGGACAAATGCAGATTGTAATGAACCTTTATGCTGTCGTTTAACCAATGGGCCAGCACTTAGTCTGCAAAGCCGCGCAGGCAGATGGGGAGACTATAGAAAATGTGATACTCCCAAACGTACTATTGACAATATGCTTCAACATATTGTCACCACGCACACAGTAAACATCTATTCAACATAAAAAAAATAATACATGCTATATATTAAATACTACTAATGTTTCATTAAAGGACATTGATTACATTATATGGACCGGTGATCTACCGGCGCATGATATTTGGAACCAGACCAAAGAAGAAAATCTAAGCATTTTAAAGGAAACTGTTGGACAGTTGCTAAAAATGTTTCCAGGAATTCCCATATTTCCAGCACTTGGCAATCATGAAGCAGTACCAGTGAACAGGTACCTGCTACTACTTATATGCAGAGCTCTGGACTTTTAGCACTTAAAATCCATAAAAAAAGACTGAAAAAAATGATATAGGGGTAAATAAGTTTAATGATTCTAACTTATTAAATACAACTATCTAATACTACAAAAATGATTCAATACTATTTTTTTTTAATAAAACTACATTATAAATAAAATTATTTTGTCCAAAATTATTCTATAACATATTTTGTATTGTTAAAAAATTTCATTTTTTAAAATTAAAGCCATTAGGACTTTCTTTATCACTCCAATGGTTTTTTTAAAAATATATTTTATTTTGTGGATTTTAATAAGTAAAAGTCTCAAGTCTTGTTCATTTATTTTGTTTGCCTAGTGTTTAATATAATTACCCGTATTAATATAAACTGTATATAAAAAAATAATTGTATAGTTTTCCTCCGGCATCTGTTACCAAACCAGAGTACGCCATTGACTGGTTGTACAGCGAATTGGACACACAATGGCGACGATGGTTACCAGGTTCTGTAAGCAGAACCATCAAACGTGGGGCGTTTTACAGCGTATTGGTCCGCCCTGGATTTCGCATAATATCGTTAAACATGAATTACTGTAATAATAAAAATTGGTGGTTATTAATGAACAGTACTGATCCGGTCAAAGAACTTCAGTGGTTTATATATGAATTGCAAAACGCAGAATTCAATGGGGAAAAAGTCCACGTGTTAGGCCACATACCGCCAGGACACCCAGATTGTTTAAAAGTCTGGAGTCGAAACTATTATGCCATAATCTCTAGGTGAGTTTCTGAAACAATACCCATAATATATACATTAGGTAACCTACCTAATACTGTTTATATTTAATAATATTTTCACGAGAATTTAGATTAATAATATGTAATAAATACTTAGTACTGCAAAGGTTAATGGACTAGCATATATTATAATCAATAATTTAAACCAAACAAAATTGTATAACAAAAATATAAGACTATAATAAAAAAAAATCTTATGAAAAATCAATAGCTAAAAATAAATCAAAACATTACTTAAAATTTTGTACTATTTTTAAAAATATTATCTAATATATATGTACATCACAGTCACAAAAATTGTATAGAAGTTCAATTATTTTAATGCCTATATTACTTTATACATTCAAACTAACTTAGTACCAAAATTAACTAAAAAGAAGTAAATAAAGATAACAGGGTTTTCACCAATGTGGTGTACTTAAAATAACTGATAGTGATTAAAATTTATAAAAAAATGTATAATTTAAATTACTTAAATACATCAATAAAACAAGTTCCATAAACTTAATTTATAAATATGTTATAATTTTGCATATGATGCATTATATATTTTATATTGGACATAACCATGTAATTGTAATAAGATGAAAACATACAAATTTTAAAATGAAGGTAGAATTAATAGATATTTTATAATTATTAAATCACAAGTAGGTACAATGTACCAACCAAAGAATTTATTATTTTTAATTTTGAGAAAATTTAAATAATGGATTGAAAAATACAAATTTCTATAGAAATTTCTTATTAATTCTTGATAACATAATGTATTCACAAAACATATTTGGTTGACCAACCAGCATTTATAAATATGTTTACAATTAAGATTTAAGATATTTATTAACTCACATAACTAGAATATAATTAAGTTGTCTTTATTTAAAAAAAAAAATATATATCACTTCTTGTATAATAAATTTCAAAATATTAGGAAAAAATTATTAAAAAGTTCAAAAAATGTATGACACATTCAAAATGAAAAAAATTACATTTAGTGACTTAAAAAGATAAAGAGGGGACTTTAAGTGACATATAGTTTAATGTAACAAATATTTCTAAGTTATTCTTAAATAAATTGTTTTTAATGTTTTTGATTAAAATAAATAATAATTAAATACTTTGCTGAATAACCTAAATTTCAAACACTTAAAAATATTAATATAATTATAGTATTTAATTCAAAATTAATCTATACTATTAACAAGTATTTACTTTAACAGATATGAAAGTACAATAACTGCTCAATTTTTCGGCCACACTCATTTCGATGAATTTGAATTGTTCTACGATACACAAGATATTGGCAGACCTGTCAGCATTGCATACATTGGTCCTTCTGTCACTCCATATTATGATCTTAATCCTGGTTACAGAATATATTACGTGGATGGTGATAGAGAACATTCATCAAGGGTAATACAGATTGAACTATATTACTAAGTGAGCAGTGAACATAGTTAATAATAATTACCTATCTTGAAGGCTGTGCTAGACCATGAAACTTGGGTAATGAATTTAAAAGAAGCCAATTTGTACGATTATCCAATCTGGCAAAAATTATACTCCACACAAGCAGCTTACAATTTGCAGTCTTTAAGACCAGAAGACTGGGACGTGTTCATCAATAATTTGGCTGAAGATCAAACAACATTTGATCTATATTACAAGTAAAATCTAAAAATACTTTAATCAAAAAATAAAAATAACAATTCATGTACCACTTTTATAGGCATTATTGGAAAAACTCACCAACAAGACCAGTATGTGACGCAGAGTGTAAAAAACGTATGATATGTGATCTTCGCTCAGGACGTTCACATGACCGTAAAATTCTATGTCAAGAAATCGAGTCTCGTATCGATGCCGGTTCCCGAGTTAGTTGGGGCGCTTGGCTATACAATGGGTTCACTGCATCGTATGTTTCATTATTATCTTTCAAATATTATTGGGTGCCTGTAATAGTGCCTTACATATCAGTCAACAAAACTCAAGACTTTACTTTCCAACTAATGCTATACTAACTGATATGCAAATTCACGCTTTTTTAATTATTCAAAAACAAAAATATAAAAATAATATTTATCTTTTCACGTCTTTTTCAAAGAAATGCAACTGGTGAAGGTCAAATATAACTATCACTATATATGTGCATCTACAGCAATCTTCTATTTATTGGTGAGTGGGTATATTCTAAATTATAGCACATTGAGTTATTTATTAGAAAATAATCAAGACAAAATAGAAAAAAAAAATTCTAATTACAGTAACTATTAGTTCAAACACTAATTATTATAAGTTGTTTTGTATAATAAGTATAATTTTAGAAACTTATAAATTTACACCATAATTACATAATTACAAGTTGATAAGTTTTTATTATTTAAACAAAATGGTGTTTCTCAACTCGGGGGAACACAGACCTCTAGAAGTCCGTGAGAAAATATTAGGGAGTTTGCAAAGAAATTTAAAATTTGTTGTATTTGATTGAATTGGCTTGTTATTTGTGACATTTGAGAGTCCATTAAGACGCAGTGGTGACAGGTCAAGGTGTACATGAATGAAAAAAATATTGAAAAATACCGGGCTAGAAAAATACATGAATTTAGGAATTAAAATGTTGAAAATAATATTTTAATAAATTTTATTTAAAAAATAACATTAACAATATTTTACATTTGTACTATTATTGTAATAGTAGGTAAATTAATTAATAAAATATTTGAATACAAAAAATGAGTTCTAATTTGTCTTACAATAATTACAATATTGTAAAAAATATTTCAATTATACAGCTGAACATTGTTATTCACAATTATTTAATAAGAATAAAAATAAAAAATTATACAATTCAGTGATTCTGAAACTAATTGTATTTGACTGTTACTTAATGTTCTATTGATTTTCTACATTATAGTATAATATGAACCACCTATACAATTAAAACACTTCTATTATGAATAAAACAGTAGGTGGTGTGTAATGTAAAAGAAAATAACAATACTACACAATAAGCAACAGCCATTAACTTACTATATTACTTTAATTATTTTAATATTAATTAAAATATTCTATTGTTAATAGGATGTCCGTAATCATGTCCATACCTCACTACACGTACCAGATACCTAAATACCTACTAGGATACACCAGGTGAGCAAAATTGTGAAGCAATGTGAAACACACAAAATGTAGTAATGGCCACTCAGTCATTGAACAGAACTAATAAGTTGGGCGAGTAAACATTTATTCTGAAACATTTCCTCATTACAGCAATCAAACGAAATGATGTGATTAGAAGTAGGTTCATTTTTATACTTGGAGAATAATCAAATATATGCAAGGCTACAGCCCAGGATATGAATATAAATATAATTATACACAACTATACACACAAAAATGTGTATATGCAAACATGTGTTACGCACAACTATTAATGTATACTTTTTTTATTTATTTATTTTTAGGCACTTAAGTCCGTTGATGGATAATATTTATTATGTACAGTAATCTAAATTAGGAAAATTAAATTATTAAATTGTAAATAAATAGACAAAGTATCTAAATATTATTATTATTTTACTTTTTTTTAGGAGTTTAATGGAATTATTGACTTCTATATAGTGAGCCAAAGAGAGTATTAAATTCAAAACGAACAAGTATTTAATTTAAGTTCAATGTTTAAGTCTTTTATTTACGCTTAAATTAATATACCACTGGGTATCAAGTTCCTAATTAATGTTATTTTCTATGAATACATTAAAACTTAAGTAAAACAACTTGTTACAAATAAAATAATTTCAAGTAAATTAATTTTTTTTTTTTTAAAAAAATTAATGCTTTTTAATTTTTTTTAAAAACATTCGTATTATTTAGTGTATACTTAAACTAATATGTTAAAAAAATATATTCAAGAAATCTTAATAAAATTATTTATAAATTATGTTTAATGAACAAATTACTAAGTACTATACAAATGAAACACAGTATAAACAAATTTGAGCAAAGGAATGTTTTTACTTAATTTAATATAATTCATCATATTTATAAAATAATATAAAAATGTGTATAATATTCACATCGATTATCAGAACATAATTTAAGTAAATCTTACCAATATTATTTAATGAACACTGACATCACAAAAACTTAAAATTAAATAAAATGAGATTCAATTGATTAAGATAAACAATGTCATGAAAATTAAATTAATTTTACCCGTAAAGTTGTAAAATATTGAAAATATTACAAGGAACATCCACTTCGGCTTTGCCTTTTTTATTTAAATAAAAAATTAAAAACGTTAAAAAAAAAAATCACAAATAAAACATGACTATATAATGGTTAAAAATGTATAAAAATTAAGTAGAATTGTTGTTTTTAAATGTGTTAAAAAAATAAATAAATAGAAACCAAGTACTTAAACATACATTAGAGAGCGATATTATAAGTAAATGTAAAATTATATTAGTTTTAACATTTAGACTTTTAGGAGTTTTAATGTTGTTGATAATACAATTTTTTTATTACTTAAGTATTTTTAATTTAATTTTTAGTTTTGGACCTATCAGGTTTTTTTAACTTTATAATTTAATTTAAATTATGTGATCATTTAATTTATTTCACATAATTAATATTTTCTTTTTTAAAGTCGATATAATAATCAAAATTTTTTGCTCAATAGTAATCTATGTTAATAACCTTCGCAAATTCCTTTTCCTTTTGGATAAACTAGTTACCAATGGGCGGCGATTATATGATGAAATTGATAATATTGGCATGGACAAACATTTATGTTCAAAATTGTTGGCATATTCACACATACATTTTGTGCAGAATATGAATTTACAATGAATTCCTTTACATTCAGCACGGGTTGATAGAGAGGGTGACCATGATGCAGGTCTTGTACACCGTGGACATTTAACCAATTGTTGATCTGAACTCAATTTTTTTGCTTCCTAAAATAAAAATATTAGTTAAGTATATTTATCATGTTATACAGAATTCAAGTATGAAAAATTGATTAATAATTAATTAATCATTTAATCTCATATTGGGCTCTAAAGTATTTAAACGCTAATGATATTTTCTAACCTTTTGAAATACATGGAATCTGTATTTACTAGGGCTGACTGGAGGACTTCTTTGCGGTAAATCTCTTTTTGATGGAGAACGCATGACATTTGCAATATTTGCTAAACATCCTTTATTATAAAAAGCAGAACGGTCTCTACAATCAAAGCTGCCACGATTTTCTTTTGATAGCTTAAAATACATTCGTTTCTTTTTCTGAGCAATGAGTGAATTTTTAACAGCACCACACCAAGTCTTGGAAACCATAGACATTGATATAATATCACTACCGGATAAAAAAGAAAATATTTTTTCTGTAACCGGTTCAAAATTATTTCGCTCTGCTAGAAAATACATAATATCCAAATTCTCTCGGCCTTCCACAGATATACGTTCATGATTTATTTCATTTTGATCAAGAGTCAAGTTTTTTCTTTTTAAGAACTGACTGTCTTCATCATTTGGAGATCTATTTATACGAAACCGCATTCGCATATCCGAGGAAAATTTAAATTTTTTTGAAGGGGAAAGTTCTTCATATGTAGGAGGTGAAAAATGAATACCAGAATCAGTTGTATTAGTAATATCTTCTAATTTACAATGGTCATCGGTAAAATTCTGTGTAGCTGAAGACACTTGAAGCATACCATGATGATCTGATGGTGTGTGATCAAAGGAAATAGAAATTTCAGATATATGACTGAGATTGGATGATAACGTGGAACTAGGAGTATTGTAGCCACTGTCGTTGATACTTTTTTGAGGCGTTGAGGTAGTTATTAGTGATTTATAATTGTTGTAAAAAGGAGATTCTTTTACAGATATATCTGCCATTTTGATCGTTTTGATTATCTAAACAAATAAATATAAGTCTTAATTATTATTTGAATTAATTAAAATAAAAAATATCCAGTATACCAATAGTTGGAACTATTATAGTTTTTAAATGCATAAATTATAACCCTGATATAAGTATAAATTGTAAAATATATTTATATCAAACGAAAATTAAAATTAAAGTATTTTAAAAGTAGAATTTTTTTTTAATAGTAAAATAATATTATTTACATCAATGTTATACCGTTTATAATTGCTAATGAGATAAAAGATACCTACCTAAATAATAATATATTTATCTATCTTATTAAATTATACCTACTAATATTATAACATTATTAAAAACCTAGATTTCTATTCACAATTTTCTATTAATTCATCAACAAAATTCCAGTTAATGAACAGCTGATAATAAGCATCAAGCATTGGTTGTATTTATAAACCATCACAATAAGTTCATAAAACAGTATTAAAGTACTAACTAGGGACCAGACAAGACTATGTAATATATTGAGTTTTACCAATAGGCTACTAAATAGATATGCTTTATTAAAATTGATTTAGTATTTAATATTTTTTTTTTTTAGAACTTTTCTTTTAGTGGGATATTCATTAGTTGTCGAGTTTGTTATAATGTATAGAGCATAAGAAACAAAATAAAAGATAACAATAATATTAACAATGTGTGTCTATAGTTATATAATATTCTAAAAAGTACCTCCTACTATTATTACTATGAAAATATTATCATTTATGAATTTATTTGTGAAGACAGTGTAATACGTATATTAGATATATAGCTATAGTTAAAACATTGTTAATAATTTTTTATCTTATACTTATAGGTGTCTAATGAGACTCGAAATACCGGTTATACAGAGTTCATTCAATCAGTTTAGTATAATTATATCGGTTTCATTCAGTTGTTTAAACACTATAATATAACTATAACATTAAGGTCAATATATATTATCACCTGGTCAATTAAGAATAATTACCTAACAGTTCTTACCAAAAATACGTTAGTTTTATTGAAATATTCGGTTTGAAGGAAGAAATAACAATAAACGAATAGGTTTATCTGTGTGATAATATAACCTCGAATCTAACTAAAATACTAATTTAAAATAACAAAAGCTCATTAATATACAAACTTACACTAACTTTATTTTTCCGAATTTTCGATTATAATTCAATTGTCAAACAAAACCTTTAATGAGTATGTGTTGAACTTTTAACTGAAATAATTTAAAATTGTTTGTACAAATAATAGTTTGAGTACCCACTTAAAATTATAATTAACAGGTACCTAATAAACAATCACAATGTCAATAAAACGCCGACATTTTAAGTACCTACCTATTTACATAATACTATGTTGAATGGAATAAATAAAGTATCATATGGTCCATTTTAATATAAAAAAATTTAGTACAGGTAGGTGTACTAATACAAGTAAATTATATTCGATCTAAAATGAATTTCGAAAAATAACGATTATAATATAAGTAAAAGGGTTTAAAATACGGTGAACGAAACTAATATTAATTATACACACACCTAATACATATCGTATTAAGCAATAATAATAACAAGAGACAAATAAGTAAATATAATAATGAATATTACAAGTGAAATATCGGTTGCAAAACATGTCAAAACTCAACGAACCGATGCGTAAGTACACCGAAAAAACAAACACGGACAAAGGATTTCAAAACAAACAAATCATACGAATGGGTGTCTATAGTTTTATTAAAATATTAGGTATGTTGTAGACATAAATTTGTCGTTACTTTCCCGACAGCGAGGTGTCAGATTTCACAGCGGACAGTCCATTATCGTAACCGAAAACAATTAGTCAAGTGCGTTATTATTATAAATAGCGGAGCACACGATTGTTGGAAATAATAACGACATCGTTATAAGGGTCAATCGATTGGCGCCCGTTTCTCCCGCGTAACACGGCGAAGGTCACACATTACATGAATCGGTTTAAGTACGTACGGGTGTGTTGTTAATCGCTGGACGATTAACACGCCGATTAAACACACAAACCGACGACAAATTATTATCGAAATTAATAATGTAATTATTGTTATTTACCTTTCGGGCGCGTGTGTATGTGTATGTGTGTGTGTGTGCGCGCGCGCGCGCGTGTACTGGCGTGCGAAGTGTTGCAATTTGCGCGCGAGAACGGCGGCGGAGCGTCTCTCTCGGCGTTCCGGACGACCAGGCACGTTTACTTTTCGGAGGGATTGCTAACCAACATAACGAAATAACGTTGCGGACGACTGTTTAACAGCGATTATATCGACCGTGTACGGCGGCTACGGCGACATTTCCCATTATTTTCATCACGGGGACAACTACCGGTAAAACTAGGTAACTGAAACACTGCGAGAGGAGCTACCGAGTGCAGACGACAAACGAGAACGGAGGATTTCGGACGTTCGGTTTGGAATGTTTGGTTTGGAGCAGCGGATTGTCGGTTAGATTCGAAACTCCGGCCGGGTCCCGGAGAGAGACGGGAGAACATGTGTACCGCGGCGGCGGCAGCGGCTGCGGCGGTGGCGGGGTGGGATGGGCGAGCGGCCGGGTAGGAGGGACAAGGTAAGCAGCCGGCCGACCGGCCAATGGGAGGCTGCAGTGGTCGGCGCGGCGGCGGCGGCGGCAACCGGACACGCACAGAACACAAAACACGACGACGGCGACGGCGACGCCGCCGACTCAAACATTTCAAACGAAACGGACGAAAAAGTGAAAAAAAAAATAAATACACGGGTGACGGGGAGAGAGAGAGAGAGTGAGAAAGAGAGACCCGTTTTCTGCGTAAAACAAAAATATAAAAAAAAAAAACGTTTCGTCCGACCGGTTGCCGCCGCCGCTATTGTGTCGTGAGCTGCGGCGCGCCCCGGGGGTACAGACGCCGCCGCCGTCGTCGCCGTACAATGTTCTCCGCAGTCCGGCACCTCGACAATATTATCATACCATACGATATGGGTACCTACCTATTATTATACACACCCGCGACCGGACGTCAGACGACCGCGTGTGCGGTTGCCAAAAAAAATCAAAAATTACGACCGCGCATTTTCGATACGGGTACCGAAACGAAAAATTCGCCGAAAACGCGCCGGGTAAACGTCCGGGAGCGCGTTAGATCGTTCGAAACCCGCGTGACGTTTTCACATACAGTCCTGTTTGTTCCGGAAAACCGTCGCCCGGTAAACGCGTACCCAGCCTACAGGTCCCGTGGGATTATGGAATCAATCCCTTTGCGCGTTACGTTGTTCCGACGCGGCCGTAGTGAAACCGCGTCGCGCGCGGATTCCCCGTCCGACCGTTTCGCGCGCCGCGATCTCTCGTCATTTCTCGCTATCGTTCGAACCGGCACAAAATCGTGCATTTGGAAATTCGCGTAGCGTTGCCTTTATTATCGCTTTCTGTTTGGCCACGGTCGGCCGTCCGCCGATCGAATAATAAACGGCGGTCTCGAACGGACAATTCGAAATTGTCTCGTACTGCGAGGTGACGGTCGTTGGAGGGGGGTGGGTAGGGTGGTTGCGAGGCCGGCAACGTTGTTTGCGCGCGTTCCGTTAAAAGACCCCGCGCCGACCCTTTTTGTCACCGTTGGCCCCACTGCCGGTAGCGGTGTTACAATATTATTTATTTTGTTTATCGCGGTGGAATCGTTATTTTACCGCCGTCGCCGCGCGCCGTCCTCAGACACGGCTAAACGTGCCCAATGACTGTCCAGCAGACCGCTCCGCGTCCTCCAAAATTAATCGTTTCCGGCGGATATTCCCGTCTGCCAGCACGCCGTGGAAGACACATTTGCGCGAGTAGTCGACGACAATTCCACGTGGAAACGTCCGCGGCACTCGACACGACGAGAATTCGACAGTGGCCGGCGCCGGTTGATCGCACGAAACAGTCAGTGGCGGCGTTATTGTTCGCCGGGTTTTCAATTGAAATAACACAATTGGACCGCGCCGCCGCGTATAACGTTAACGATACATCACAATAGACAATAAACGCATATTCCGATATTCGCCAATTACGGTGTACGGAACACACCCCGTCGCTCTTTTATCCAGCATATTTTGTCCGTTGCATATTTAATCCGACTGCCCGAAATTTTTACACGTTTCTAATTGAATTCATAATCAATTCAATCCATTTGGTGCGATGTAGGGCCGGCGATGCGTTCCCTATCGGACGCTAGTTCCTGAAAACATGTTATTTTGTTCACAACTCGGGTAGCCGTCGCTCTGTCACGATTGCGTTTGCCGTCTCTGTCTTCCTGACGGGCAACACAACAAAAACGTGTTCACGTAAAACGAACGATAAGACCGATTTCAAATCGGCTTTAGAGATAAAGCATCTGTTATAGAATTTATCGACCACAGCACTTACGAAAAGACAACCTCGTCGGCGTTTCACGATTCTGTAGATATTCCGTAATCGAAGGGAATAGAAAATCATAGTTTACACTTCTCGAAAAATAATAACGCAACTTTGTTCATGATTAATACTTCGAAAAAACGCCGACGAGATTGTCTTCAAAATATTGTCATCTACGCATTTTACGCATTTTAGGTGTTTTTATCTTTGAAACCGATCTTTAAAGAATTTTCGCTTGTTATATGTGAACACATTTTTGCAACATTGCTCGTTACAGAGCCAGAGACGGGAAAATATTCAACTTCCCACTATTCTCGTCTTCGAGTTGTTTACTGGTTTTTTTTTTTTTTTTATATACACTCGAAAACCCATATCGTGTGAAATTATGGTGGTCTACATTGGTGAGCCCCTGTGATCGCTGATACTTGACCGGTTATAGCGGATAAAAAACTATAGAAACTACATTACGTGTTAGTATTTCTGAGTAGGTAGGTAAAAACCGACCGCCGTGTAAAGAATGTCGAATCCACGGATTTTTGCCGAAACGGCACCGGGTAGGTAACCCAATAAATTATATAAGCTATTGAAAATCGCCCAAACAAGCTGTGAGTTTATCGACAGTAAAAAAATATCCTCGAACCGCACGTGCGTCCGTTGAAATAAATGTCGAAATGACATTTTGCGTGGACGAGTTTTACGCACTATAAAGGTATTTTAATCCAGGTAGGTGCCCGCGTAGACTTCATTCCGTATTTCCCAAAACGGTCGGAAACCGTAACAAGTATCCGAATTACCTATACGGTCGCGCCGAAACATTGTAGATTCAGGCAGTGGCGCGCGCACCGAGAGGGGGGGGGGAGCAGAATCTCCCTACCTCGAAATGTCTGCGTTCGTTAAATTCTTTCAAATCGAGTTTTACATTCGGCAGCACATAATAATATCTTGTGCTACATGACGTATTATTTGCGCCAAAATTAATATTTTACACGGTAAGTATTTTTATAAAATTGTAAATAACCGATAAAATGTACATGAAAACAAATGAAAATAACTGTAACAACAAAGAATTGGTTGGTTTTTTTTTTTTTTTACCGACCTCTAAAAATATCAGATAATATTATGCGGCATTAAATTTTTATATCGCACGGTCCAATAAACACATCTATTACTGTAGTACACTCGTATACCCGTTGACCGCGGTACGCGGTGGGTGCTTACCCGGAACTTTGGCGCTTTCGCGCGATACGATTTCTTTTTTCTCATCTCATTTCGGCGCTCACGCCTTCCTCCGAATAGATATTCCAAGTTATTCTATCGTTCGTTCGGTGATAAAATAACGATCGACAGTAGGTGGTGGGCGCCTGCCCCGCACGTGCTATATGCGCCCATTGCGGGAAATTCCTACAAGCACGACCTCTCTTTTCCCGCCGCGAAAAAAACCCTGCGTGCCCTGCTGAGGGGCAGGCGTAGTATCCACCGGATTTCACGCGCGCGCGCCCGATAATATTGTTCTCGTCGCCGTCCCGTAAAAATATCGTAACGAAGAAACGGTGTTGTTTCGATACGTGCGCGGCGAACGACAGAAACGGTTCGTTGTTCGGTTATGCCGAATAATGAATATTATTTGATTAATTTCAATGTTATTACGTCGGCGGCGCGATGACGAGAATATTATACGACGAAAATATGTTGGCCGCGTAGGCGCAGAGCGTGCCGGGGCGATACGGCCGTCGAAATGCCGACGCGACCGACATGTTATCGTTATCCGCTGCCCGTGTCCGGCATAAATTAAATCAAATGCGACCCAACCGTTCGATTAACACAGTCATAATATTCGTGAAAGACTTGTTCGACCGCGTGTGTATAGCATGCGTATAGCATTGTGTACGGCGACGACCCGCCATCGGAGAACTCAATTAAACGAGACGACCATACGTCAATTGTAAATGTTACGACGGGACGCACGAAAACAATCGGATGGACGCGAATTGCCCTATAGAAAACAGTAGGAAAAAATTAAAAAACAACCGAAGACCCGCTGTTCGTACGGACTGCAGTCAAGACGCTTGCTTCGAGTGTTCCGTCGGACGATAAGCCGCGGCCCGTCTCCGTCCTATTGTCATCGCCTATTATTGATCGAAATATTCATGTTCCGGAAGACGTGATGCCGCGTGGTGACGTGCCGATTCCGTGTCTTCGCGACGTGGAGAAAATTCATCTTCTCCGCATCGTGCGCGCGCACAAACCACAGCCTAACCACTGTACGGTACAAACGCACCGGGATATTTGAGTACAACAGGGACGACTTGTCTGCGCTGTTCCGCGAGTGAATTGATCCTGTATCAAAAATAACGTTAAGAACATTGTCTGTGTACCGTCGACGCTATGTCTTCGAGATTTTAATCGTCAAGCGAGATACGAACATTGTTAAATAATTGCGACATCGCGCAGAGTCGCATCTTTCTTACAGATATCATCAACGTTGCACGGGTATCGTTCTTAACATTGGCGCGTAAATTGGCCTAAATTTCTGATGGCGCAGAGAAATATTCGATTTAGTCGTTTTTAACACGCCAATGCTTCCTTTATAAACCTGTCCAATGGGCATGCGTGCAATAAATACAGATAATCGAATATTAATATTGTTGAACGTCTCCGCAGTCTTTGTATTAATAATTTAAAGTGTGTTACATTGAAACGTTATGAAATCGGTACAAAAGTGGTATGTTCAAATGAAACTCGGTACATTTTATCGTCCCGGCTAGACTTACAAATTTAACGGGACGTCAATTAAAAATCAGTACCGTCCCGCCTAAATCGGGTCTGGTCACACTAGCTCGTCTTTCTTTTCTTTTCTTTTTTTTTTTTTTGATAGAAATGTTCCGTCTAGATACATAATAAGTCTATGTATATTATCTATCTATATCTGTTGAGTGCATAAAGACTCAACCATCCGGATATTGATAAGATACCTAATCATATTTTTAATCCAGCTGCGTCGGGATTGAGATGAAATAGTATAAAAAAAAAAAAAATTGTACAAATAATTACAATTTGGTACAATTGTACTTACTTTGATATAAAAAAAAAAATTAAAAATTATAAGCATACAATTTGTGTGATATTCTGCTGGTGCAAAAATTTAATCTTTGCAATTTTGGTGGTGCAAGCGCTGCATTTGCACCACCCAATGTACGTCATTGGTTCTTATAAATTTGATAAAAGGTCTATTTACTCCGATATTACAACTAGCTGACAACGCATGCGGGTATCGCGCCCTCTTAAAATTTTTCCCGGGATAAATTATAATAGTTCGCACAATACGTTTTGTTTTATAAAATCCTTAACAAGTCGTATACTCTTATCCAATATCACGGTTATATTATTATAATGACTAATGAGCATATTATTATGGCACATCAACATATTAAAACAAAACAATATGTGTACAATGCACATGTGGGAAACATACGTCGTGAGTAATAAAACACAAAAAAAAAAATCAGTATCACGTGTCGTAACATTAAATTTTTCCCCATCAAGATGTAGACTTATTTATTCTTACTTTCGGTATGATTTTAAAATAACTTGTTTAATCGTTTCTAATAATATGCTATGGTTTTAATTGTTAAAATATATTACATTGGAAACTAAGATTTTATTTCAACACATTGTGTTGAAATTATACTGTTTTATTGGTAGTTGTATAAAAACATCAGTGTGCCGGTAAGGTAGGTACCACCAGCCTTTCAAATGCGATTTTTAAAATTTATTTTACCCGATATTGAGTGTACAGCAAGTGAAAAATTGTGCGATCAAATTTAGAATTTAGGCGAAAACTATTGGGCAAACATTACCCCCCCCCAAACCAAAGTGTTTCCTAGTTTCCGCGTTAAACGTTGTCGCACAAATCCACAACAACAAATACGCATTACCTATGCATCAGAAGACAACAAATTCCGAAAATTGTATGATGGCAAACATATGCCCGTTTGTCCTCCCAACATTTTTTTTTTTCGAATTTAGCTCGTTAAACGTTATTGCAAAAATGCTGAATTCTTTGGCACAAATTACATATTAAAGATCAGATTAAAAACAAATTCCGAAAATCGCAGAAGAGATGAATACCGAACAGTGGTGTGCACGGGGGATAACAATAGATGTTATTACCCCCCTATTGGCTTGAAAATACAAACAAATATGAATAATCCAACATCGAAATGCATACATTTCAGCCAAGTTGAGAGGAAAAACTTGATGTACTGATTAAAAATTGGGTTTTTTCTGGGTTCCGGCTTTTAAATTACCAATTCCCGTACACGAGTTGGGTAAAGAAGACGATTATAATCTTTATTCGCGATTTTTATTTGTTATATAACCACCCATTGAAAATTCCTGGGCATGCCACTGATACCGACCGATTTAATCGTATCCATCATTGATTACAAAATATCCACATTAATACAATACATGCAATTGTATATAGTTTATATTGCTTGCGATTACAAACCATGTAAATGCTAAATAAATAAATACATATTTGTATATATTTTTATTTTTACAAATTGTTCACAAAACGTGGTCAATCCCAAGTCTAAAATTAACTAATAAGGTATAATTATAACGAAAATGGTATGTATTATCATTGATTGTATTATATGCCAGTATACTCCTATAATCAATGGTATTATATAATATTGTTTTTGAAACACGTGCAGCCCGAATAATGCATTTAGGTATTTAGCGATTTATTTTTAATTTTTTCAATTTTCTTGGAATAAAATAAATTTAGCAACGATGTCAAATCTTAAGGCGACCGCAGCAGTAGATACACCAAATTGAAAACTTGCGATATTATTATTATTATTAAAGCTGCGTTACAAAATAAATAAATAAATATGCGTATAATTTTAATCGAAATTTGTTTTTGTGATTTATAGAATATTATTTATCTTTAAACATGGTAGGTATTTGATTTGCTTACCAAAATTAACATGTATTTGACTAGGAAGTAAATAATTTAAATAATTGACAAATTCCAAATAATTATTATCGAAAAACGATAATTTTTGTTCCATTTTATAATAAACATGTATAATAAATAATAATATAATTACAAAAATTCAAAATCTATAATCTAATATACCGGAAACTTATATTATTATAAAAAGAGTAATATATTACGTGGGTGCGTCTGGACGATTTAAATTTACAGTTAACCACATTGTGATTGACTGTGTAGTAGGTATTTGAAATTTATGTATACATTTTTTTTTTTTTTTGTTAAAAAATTATAAACCGATAATAAAAAAGAGATGATACTGGGGCCATATTTACAGTCACAGTTGTAGATGAAACATTGGGAAGGTAGGATATTATACATCATAAAATTATTTAATTTGTGTACCTTGTGTTACATTTTCAATCATTTCTCACAAATCATATATTTTTAATAGTAGGTACCTACTAAATAAAAATCCATACAAAAACACGAAAATATCAAATATTTATAAATAACCTAAAACTAAATAGAATGTTTTGAAAACTTTGTCCTCTTTATAAAAAGACCAATAAAAGTATTTTGTAAATAAACTACAGGTCTCTACAGTCATTTGTTACCGAATAGCAACAAAAAAAAACCCAAATAACGTACATTTTTCCGTAATTTCTACGTTTTTCCCGGTTTTTCGTAATTATTAGAAAAACTATATGAAAAATCAATATGCTTTTCTTAGAATCTGGTAAAAAGATGTCTGATATAAAAATATAGTCTTAAACATTATGAATAATGAATTCGTTACGCTGTAATTTGAAAATATCGTATTTTTCGTATTGTTTGGTTTTTCTTAATTATTGTGAAAACTACTTTAAATATAAAAAAAATATTTTCCCCGTCAGTGGCTGGATATTAAATGGATACAAACAGATGTCTTATGATTTTTCTATTGGAGCAATATTTCTGGAAGAAAACATAGTTTACAATAATTGAAAACATTGAGATCGGTAACGCCGTGGGGTACCATAAACGATTGCCATTTTATCTTTAGTTATTTTCTTACCGGGTTTTTCCAATTATTATGAAAACTCATACGAAAATCACTTCTCTAATGCATCAACTAGACGAAATTTCAGTTCAGAAAAGTTACTACGCTCTATACATCGGAGCGAGATTTCTAGTAGAAAAGTGGTTTACAGATGTAAAAAAAAAAATATACATTGTAAAACCAATAGATTCTGAGCGTAAATGGACATACTTCGATAACACCGTCGCCGATTTACCCAGTATCACTGTTATGGGTGGAAAGTTGAGAAATTGTTGCTAACGAAAATTCGGTTAAACGTGTATTGATAAACTTAAATTGAAAATCGTATTACTACAAAATAAATTGCAATAATCTGTTGATGTTTTTTTCATGTCAAATTTTTGAGCATTTTTTATGAAGCCAAAAAAGTTGTAGTCACATAAATCGAGCAATTTTAGGTAAGAACTTGAAATACGAAGAAAAATCCCGTGATTTTTAGGATTTTCAACTTTAAACGCTTATAAATATTTTTATAAATTTATTATGCTATAAGAAAAATGTATAAAGAATTATTATCAAATTTGTCAACATTTTTTAGAAACTAAACAAATTTTATCCATATAAAACTAAATATAAACTAAAAACAGTAAAACATTTGAAATGGTTGTAAAAAGCTCAAATATAATCAAAATATTCTTAAAATTGTATTACGTCTAAAATTTAAAAAGTATTAAAATAAGTATTTAGTGAAAATTTCAAGTCTTTTCGATTATTTTTCACTAAAATATAATAAAAAAACAAAACCGAAAATAACAGGAACCATTATAGCGTATAGGTATTGGTATTAAAAATAAATATTAGCCATTTGGTAGATATATTTGGTTTCATAACTAAATCAAAATGTACTATTTTTATAAATAAAAAATTAAAAACTGATTAAAACATTGGTACTATAGATAAGTGCTTTAGAATATCATTTAAACATTAAAAGGTAAGTAGGTATGTTTAAAAATTATTTACCGTTGATATATTATGTGTTGCATAAAATAAAAGTAGTAAACATTTTTTTACATTTTGGTCAAAATATTTTAAATAAGTATAGAAGGACAGGTGCACTCAAATATTTGACTACTGATGATAATAATATTATGATTAGTAAAAAACCTGATTTTTGCACCTGCAGAGCATTGGAAATTGAATTCATACATACGAAATTGTTTATTCTTTATTATAATTTTTTTTTTTATACAAATAAAACCATATATTAATAAATAGATATATTAAAACTATTAGTTATTTCTTGTTTTACATTCGTTCAGTGGATTAGTTTTATTAGTGTTTGATGATTATCACGTACCAATACATTTTAGTGACTTCACTAGAGGTGAATGTCTTCACATAGAGATCGCATAAAGGTTTGAAAATTTTAATTTCAAAAATGTACTCTATTATAGTATTTATCGTCCTTAATAAAAAAAAAGTCATGAGGGCAAATGACGACACCGATATCCTTTCCTTCAATGGGTGAGGGTCGAAATCCGTACGGGGTTGAAATCTCGACAAGGTCTAAATTTGTCGGGGTTTGGAGGTTCAACTCCCATCCCACCG